TCGCTCAGCGACCCCATTCTGTTGTGGGGAGTCCGGTAGGGTGAACGTCTGGGTGATGCCCTCCGCACGACAAAAGCGACCAAGGACACCTGAGGCAAACTCACCACCACGGTCTGAGTGAAGACGCAAGACAGGGAGACCGCGGTGGACACGCGCACAGACGAGCCAGGCACGTCGGCCTTGCGCTCCAGGGGAAAGACTGTGGTGTAACGAGTGAAGTCGTCGACGAGCACAAGGAAGTAGCGCTCTCGACGCGGCCCAGGGACGGGGGCGGGGCCCCAGACGTCCAGGTGCAGGGTCTGCAGCGGCGCGGCGGTAGGGGGAAAAGAGGAGGAGTGAGGGGCACTTCGAAGCCGACCCTCGACGCAAGGCGTGCAAGGTGGGGCTGGGGAGGAGGGAAACGCGGGGAGAGAACCTGGGAGACCAATGACAAGACCGTGCTGGGACATGTGACGCAGATGCGGGAGCGCAGGGTGACCTAGGCGGTGGTGCCAAAGGAGGGTCGGGTGAGTGAGGGACCGACAGGAGCAGGCAGCAGCAACCTGGGTGAGCGCTCCAGCCGGGGGGGTCACGGTGTCCAGAGTGAACAGGCCGGACACCGGGTCCCGGGGGAACGTGGACAGGGGGGCACCAGTGGCGGCCTCGGTACAGACAGCATACCGCTCGTGACCAGGGAACGTAGTGGTGACGCCAAGGTCCTGGAGGCAGCCGACACCAACTAGGTTCCTGGAGAACGAGGGGATATGCAGACCTGTAAGAGAGTCCGAAGGAACCGCCGGACAGGGAAGGGTGGTGGAACTGCGGGCGACTACCGGACTGCCGGAGGGGTCAGCAAGAGAAACGGCAGCAGGAACAGGAAGCGGCGTCAGGGTGGTAGACTCGTGGAAGAAACACCGAGAAGCGCCAGAGTCCAAGGTGAAGGAAAGCGAAGCAGAGGCGTCTGGCGACGGAACGACGGCGGAAGCACCAAGACTACACAAAGCAGAGGATCCTACGCCTGACGCAGCAGGGGAGGCTACACTAGACACACCTACACTAGGCAACAGTGAGTAATAAGCTGGAAGCACACTAGAGTCATCAGCATACATCACATGCAGAGCAGAAACAATGGCATCCATGTCCAGGTCAAAAATCGGAATACTAGTCTAAGCATGCTGTGCCAGTCCAGGAGGTCTGGCGACGGGCCGAAGCGCTGACGAAAGAGGTCGTCGAGGCGACGAAAACAGCGGGGAGTGGAGTGACCGATCTTACCGCAAACGAAGCCGCGGCGAGGACCGGTCTGGATCTAGTTGTGACACCGCCCGCCGCCAGAGCTACCACTCGACACACCACCACGCGTCCGGCCACTGCCAGCGCCGGGCCACCCGGGCGGGAGGGCACTCGTGTGCCGCGTCTGCGACGGCTACTGCGAAGGCTGCGACTGCGGCGGCTGCTGCGGCTGCTGCAACTGTAGGGGCGGCGGCTCAGCTGGACTGGGCAGGGTCCCCTCGTCCGCTCCAGCACCAGACGACCCGACCCCACCACTACCCCCTCCCGCACCCCCGCCGCCGCCTCCGCCGCGCCCAACCTTGGGGCGGCGGCCCTTCCCCGAACGAAACCGCGCTGCAGCAGCAGTCTCAGCCACTGCGACAGAGCCGTCGGAGAAGGTACACTGGGCGGGGGCACAACCCTGAAAGATAGGGACCGGCACGACACCGCTCGCTTGGGCGATGGAGCGGTGACGGGTCTCTATCACAGTCAGGGTGTCTACAAAGTCAGTGAGGGTGAGGTCTGCGGGGTGAATGCTAAGGAAGCGGTCGCGGGCGACAACAAGGCGGTCAGGGAGGCGGGTGGCAAGCAGGTAGAGGGTAGAGGTAATGGGCGGCTGGTGGGCTCTAAGCTGTGCGTCAGTGCAGGCGGCGCGCCAGGTCTCCTCTATCGAGCACAGGTGGGCAGCGAGGTCAGAGACAGTGGGGAAAGAGGCAAGGTCAGGAAAGAGCATCGGGAGGATCAGGCGACCCACCGAGGCAGCCGGAGGGGTGGAATAGCGCTTGATGACAGCATCTAAGTATGCCTGAGCAGTAGTGAGGGACCTAAAGCGAGGACGCTCGGACGGGGGGAGGGCGTTGCTAATGGCAAGCTGGGCGACAACATCACGAGAAAGCCAGACAGAGCGCGCACGGGCAGTGGCAGCAGTAGACTCACGCTCAGTGGGTGTGGGGTCAGCGGGCAGAATAGCAGGGGGGTCTGGGCAGGGGAGCGTACCGTCAAGGTGTGCGGAAAGCGGTTCACCATCCTGCCGCTGGCCAGTGAGTTGGCGGCGGAGGTCGGCAAGCCACGCCTCGAACTCTAGGGGCTGACCTTCAGCGTCGAATCGAAGCTCCGCCGCCATCAGGGACAGTCCAGTGCGGTGCAGGGTAGTGCAGCTAGGTGGAGTGCAGTGCAGTGCGGTACAGTACGATGCAATGCGGTGCAGTGCGGTGCAAGGCAGTACAGTGTGGTGCGGGGCGGTACGGTGCAAGGCAGTGCAGGGCGGGGTGGGGGGAACCGTACCAGTGAGGAGGACGGGGCCGGGGGGGGGCGCGACGGGGCCGGGCGGGCGTGACGGGGCCGGGCTGGTGCGACAGAGCCGGGCCGGGGCTACGGGGCCAAGCGGGCGCGACGCGGCCGGGCTGGGGCGACGGGGCCGGGCGGGTGGGACAGGGCTGGGCCGGTGCGACGGGGCCGGGCGAGCGGGACGGCGGCCGGGCGGGTGCGACGGGGCCGGGCGGCTGCGACGAGGCCGGGCAGGGTGCGACGGGGCCGGGCGGGCGCGACGGGGCCGGGCGGATGCGACGGGGCCGGGCGAGCGAAACGGCGGCCGGGCGGGTGCGATGGGGCCGGGCGGCTGCGATGGGGCCGGGCAGGGTGCGACGGGGCCGGGCGGGCGCGACGGGGCCGGGCGGCTGCGACGGGGCCGGGCAGGGTGCGACGGGGCCGGGCGGGCGCGACGGGGCCGGGCGGCTGCGACGGGGCCGGGCGGCTGCGACGGGGCCGGGCAGGGTGCGACGGGGCCGGGCGGGTGCGACGGGGCCGGAAGGCGTGACGGGGCCCAAGAGGGGCTCGACGGGGCCCAGGAGGGGCGCGATGGGGCCCAGAAGGGGCGTTACAGGGCCCAGGAGGGGCGCGACGGGGCCCAGGAGGGGCGCTACGGGGCCCAGGAGGGGCGCGACGGAACCCAGGAGGGGCGCTACGGGGTCCAGGAGGGGCGCTACGGGGCCCAGGAGGGGCGCTACGGGGCCCAGGAGGGGCGCTACGGGGCCCAGGAGGGGCACGACGGAACCCAGGAGGGGCGCTACGGGGCCCAGGAGGGGCGCGACGGGGCCCAGGAGGGGCGCTACAGGGCCTAGGAGGGGCGCGACGGGGCCTGGGAGGGGCGCGACGGGGCCCAGGAGGGGCGCTACAGGGCCCAGGGAGGGCGCGACGGGGCCCAGGAGGGGCGCTACGGGGCCCAGGAGGGGCGCGACGGGGCCCAGGAGGGGCGCTACGGAGCCCAGGAGGGGCGCGACGGGGCCTGGGAGGGGCGCGACGGGGCCCAGGAGGGGCGTTACAGGGCCTAGGAGGGGCGCGACGGGGCCTGGGAGGGGCGCGACGGGGCCCAGTGAGGGGTGCGACGGGGCCCAGGAGGGGCGCTAGAGGGGTGAGCGGAAGCAGTATGTGGGGGGGGGGGGGATCCTACCTACGCGTGATACCATATCAGAATTGAGAAGTTAATGATAGAGTGAGAGTACACACAAATATACCTAAGTGTTGTACCCTCTAAGAGGTGACCCTATACAGTCTATACAGACATAACAAATACACATGTTTGACATTCCTTCCTTTAGAACGTGGGGGACTGTAAGGAATTACGATTCCTTGCTGGGGCTCGCCACCGCGAGTACACGCGAACAGTGCGCGTCCGCAGGCTCGGCCCTTGGTTATCGCGCCAAACCAGCCCCCGTCGACCTTTTCGGCCCCAACTTGATCTCGAGTCGCCCCGAACCCATTTTGACCCCGTCACCCTCTGGACTATCGAGCCCTTGACTGGTCCAACCCTCGACATTCAACCTGGTCAACTGGCACTATATAAGCCCTAGGTCTCATTTGGATAGGACACATTGTAGTCACGTTCTCCTTATAGTATTGTGCGCTATACTATGAGTTATAATTCATAACAGCGTGGAACATACAGCTCAGAACAGCTTTAGTCCGAAATTCCACCACACTGTACCACGCGGTTAGAGAATTCAAATTAGTCGGAACCTTTTTGAAAATTACTTTACCACTCTGGCCGTCGGAGCCATACATTCCACGCCCTTATACCCTTGGCACATTATAATCACACGTGGTGGTGCCTTGTAGTTTGATTTTTCGTTGTCCCCTCGCGGCAAGGATCCCCCGCCATAGCCAAAATGCCCCCCTAGCATGCACAAGCCAGTTCGCCGCGGCGCGACTGGGACGACCTGCCCAATCTGCCACGTGGGCTGGGCTGGGTTGGTTAGGGGTCCCCGTCGGGGCCAGCCACACCACACCACACCACATCTACAGCACGTGTTTCTCGGAATTTCCGCAGCGCACGGGCTATCCGTCCGTCCTGCCTGGTCACGGGATGCGCATGGCGCTCAGCTGGTGGTGCTCCTCCCCCCAACCCCAGTCCGCACGGACACGCCAAAGGGAGATTCGCGGCTTGAGATGCTGTTATCTAAGCCGTCCATCAGCTGCTTGCAAATCTACAGCCCTCAATCATCATCCCGTAATGCCAAGGGTTTCTCCGCCACAATTGCGACCACTGAGGTGGGAAGCCTACCGAACATCACCGCTATAAAGCATACCATAACATACCATACCATATTATACCATACTGTAATTTGGGATATGCAGTGCTTATCTGCGCAACCACACCACACCATGCGTTCCATACCCCAACCACACCTTTTCCTCGTCACCTTTCCCTTCAACTTGTCGTGTGCTTCACTCACAGCCCTGTGCTTTTGGCTGGCCATTTTCCCTCGGGAATAGCGAATTTCGCGTGCGAGCGACGCTAACTCCGCTTTCTTCGCCTGGCTGATTGCTCTTTCACCACGGCTAGCTTAGTGGTGAGTGCTGTAGCTACTAAACCTCCAAGCTATCAAATCTATCAGCACCCTGAATTCCGGTGCTGTACGTTTTGTCCCGAAGCTTCCTGATTCTCGTGTCTCGCAATTCATGACAGTACTGCTCTCTTGAGGAAGTTGCTCCCGAAGTAAGGTGTCCTCGTAGGGATTCGCTCCTTACAGAGCACTCTCCTCCCAGCCGCTGTTTCGGAACGAAGTTCTTAATGATGGGGAGCTACGTCGACTCGGAGCAGTCGCCACCCGTCGCCGCGGGACTCATAGGCGGTCGCTACCTCCGCCTGCGAAAAATTGGAACCGGGTCGCAGGGCGACGTATGGGAGTGCGAGGACATTCGCACGTCGCTCCGCGTCGCATGCAAGTCATTCTCCCCCTCTATCCGACGAACCAGATCCTCCGTCGCCGTCCTCGATATAGACGCGGAGATGCGCGCGCTACAAACCCTCGGCGGGCACCCGAACGTCGTACGCCTTATAGACTTCTTCGTCGAACCGACAGCCGTCCATATTGTAATGGAGCTCGTACAGGGCGGCGATCTGTGCACCGAGATTTGCGAGAACGGGCCGCTGCCGGAGCCGCTGGCTGCTACAGTGCTGCGGCAGCTCGCATCCGCTGTCGCTTTCTGTCACGCGAACGGGGTCGTGCATCGCGATATAAAGCCCGAAAACGTGCTTCTGGTGCGGCCGACGCAGGAGCAGCAGCAGCAGCAACAACAACAGCCCCTAAATGTGTGTCCGTCACCCACGTTTCTTACGCCAGAGTCAAGGGAGAATGTTTTCCGTGCAGGGGGCTGCGATGACGACCAGAAGGAAAGCATTTCTTTGGACGCTGTTTTAAGAAACAGGACGAATGTTGCAGCGCGCTTATCGAATCAAAGTCCTGTAACGGAGCGGAGCTGCCAAGAATGGAGCTACGACGCATCTTCGAGGAATCTTCCTCACGCAGCAGCCATCGATAAAGCCTGCGGCTCCGTTATAAGCAGTCCCGTTCGTCCATCCGTGTTTTCTCGCTTCCGGAATTTCAGGACCCAGCCGACCCACGTGGGTGCAGGGCGGCAAATAGTGGGCGTGAAGCTGGCGGATTTCGCGCTCTCGACGACCGTGGATGGGGGAATGGCGGGGCAGAAGCACGGGAGGGGCGCGGGAACGCGCATGTACATGGCTCCGGAAATGAAGGAGAGGGGCTCTAGAGAGAGGAGAAGCGGAGGGAGGAGTGGAGGGAGGAGAAGTGGGGAGACAGTCGGGGGAGAGAAGAGTGGGTTGAGGGCAATTGCTGCGGAGGTGCTGCAAAATGGTGGTGGGGAAGGGGATGTTTGGGAGAGGAATAGGGAGAGGATTGGGGAGAAGAATGCTGAAGGAGGAGGAGGTATGAGGTGCTATGGGTGCAAGGCGGACGTATGGAGCTTAGGAGTGACTCTCTGCGTGGTTCTGACTGGGCTCATACCGGCTTTCGACCAATCAGGCTGCTTGGATTTCGCTGCCCCAGTCTGGAGAAGGATTTCCTGGGCAGCAAAGGATCTGGTCCGTAAGATGTTGCAGGTGGACCCGAATCAACGGCTGAGCTCGTTTGAGGTGCTGGAGCACCCGTGGCTGAACCAGAAGGCGGTTCGGTTGAGAGACATTGCGACTCGGTGCCCGAACCTGCTCTCGCCTTCGCTTCCTGTCGCTGCCCCTGCTGCCGTTACGCTGAGGGCTTGACACATGCTCTCACACCTCCGCTCCCCTTGCAAGCTTCCCCGTACCCTTAGCACCTGGTGTGATTTGAGTCGGACTCGAGACAGTCAGAAGACCGTCCGGTTGAGAGACATTGGTAGTCTGTGTTTACACCAGCTCTCTCTTCTGCTCCCTGCCCCCAATGCTGTGACACTAAGGGCCTGTCTTGCCCTCACCCACACTCCCCCCCCCCCCACGCGCCATCACTGTTCCAGTGAACCTGAGTGCCTGACTATGCTTTGGCTGGGGTCAAAATGGTGGAGTTGATAAGGAGGATCTGAGAAAGATCGCCATCTGAAAACGAATTGACACGTTCTTGAGGATAAGTCCTCAAGGAGTACTTCGCTACCTATTCTGGGCCCTTGTGCACTATACGTCGGGCGCACTGTTCTGCGACATATACATATACATGCGATGTCTACCACATAAACTCGCTTGTAAGCAGTTTCGAACTTTCGAATGCATGCTTGTTTTTTACGCTTATTATGTGAATGAGATTTGCATTGTCAATGTAACCTTTGAAATTTGGCGATGGAGGTGCCCCAATCCGTCATCATAGACAGTTCCGATGTTGTACTGTAAATTGCATGCCCTCATTCCCATATGCCATATACCTTCCAAATCTCGTTCATATATTTTTACTTATGTACCATGTTCTATTCCACTGTAGAGGACCTCATTTCTCAGCCACCAGCTATCCACCAGCCAATCATTCCAGTGCCCTACTGCTCCCCCTGATCTGCCGCATTCCCCGTTATTGCTAGTGGTGTTTCGAGCTTCGCGCTTTAGTTTAGATACATGATCGCTCCAGTTATCTTCTCGTGTGACCACGAGTCATCGTGACCGATTGACGCGTTTCGGAGCTTTCTTGTGAACTAGGCTTGGTAGAAACTATGGCGGTCGTTTCACGATTTGCAGCCGCGACTCCGATCGTCCCAGCCTCGCTGCAACCGATGCGGCATGCAAAGGTACGTCGCAGCACCGAACAGCTTTGCCAGCCGTTTTTGGAATTAACCAATCAGCACGCTGTTTGAAGTTTCGTCGACCGTCGTCTTTTGTGGCTGGTTCCATTCGTTTGTGCGGGTAACTTGGTGACATGTCTCGCCTTCCAGACCTCTCGCCTGGCAATATTCCGACTACGCATTCAGAGGCCAATTTCTGAGAGGTCGGCAGACGTTACAACCTCCATCTGGATTATCCCCACCTTCGCCTTCCCCACCTTCGCCTTCCACGCCTTCGCCAATTTGCACCGGGCCTCTCACCTGGCAATATCCCGAGCCAGGACTCATAGGTCACTGCCTGTAAGGACCTTACAGGTTGTTGTAAGACGTCACAATTTCCATCTCTCACCCCTCGCCTTCCAGGCCTCTCGCCTGGCGCTTCCACTCCGTCGGCGTCAAATGCAAGTGACAGCGTCCCAGGACCAGCAGCGGCAAGGTACTTCAAAATGATAGGTGTAGAACATACGCTGTATTTGATTGGTTTCCTTGAAAATCATTTCACGTTCCTACGAGCCTCTTCCAAGGCAACCTCTTCCCAGTCTCACGCGCGAAAATGAGAGCGTGTTCCCATCCCATGGCCCCTTCTCGGAATTCCCGTTTCATGCAGTTGTGTTCCGCCGCTCTCATCTGCAAAAAAAAAAAGAACAGCTTGCGCCGAAATTTTACTGTACAGATTTGCGCGGGTCTGAAACCACGTTCGCGTGAAAAAAAGGGTTTAAAACACGCCACTGAATCCCGGCAGGCCGAACCTCGCGTCGCACCTTGTGGAATCGCACTGACACATATCATGTCAACATTCGCGACACTGTAGCTCGCGAGTCTGGGAAGAGGTTCCCTGGAAGAGGCGCGTAGGAACACTCTCTTAGGACCAGCGCCAAGGTAGCGCCATTAGCATGCGTTCAAGTGATTGCTTCTGACGTTACTCTCAGTCGCAGATCCAAGTGACATGAGTTTCGTTTTGAGTCGACTCAAAGCGAAACTCATATGTCACACGCATTAGCGTACGTTCAAGTGATTGCTTCTGATGTTGCTCTCAGTCGTATATTCAATTCAAATGACTGCATCGCAGGACCAGCAGCAGTGGCAAGGTACTTTATGTGATAGGTGTAGAGAAGGCGGCGTTGTACTTCGTATGTTCCCTACGTCTTCAAGTGACTCCGTCGGCGTGACGGAGAGAGACGGCATTCTAGTGTCAGATTCGAGTGTCAGATTCGAGTGACGGCATTCCAGGACCAGCAGCGGCAAGGTACTTTAGTTGATAGGGCTAGAACACTCTGTGCTTCAATCAAGCGGTATTTTTGAGGCGCCTCAAAAGACGAGACGCAGTTCTTCATTGGTTTCGCTCATTTTGACCCGACTTGAAACTCATCTAGCGCAAGGCTTTGGTTTTGCAGGGTGTTTTTTAAAATTCTCGAACACACCCTGGTGAGCCGGCTAGGCTCTTGATCATCTAGCGCAAGGCTTTTGATCTGGCCGGTGGACAACGAACGAACACGCTTTATTCACGTATCACGCGACAATTCAAGCGAGGGCTTCGTACATGGCTCAGCATTTGATCATGCTGGCAGAGGTGGCAGCAGGTGACTTTGATAATTCTCAAAAACACCCTGCAAAATCAAGGTGACTTTTGAGAATTCTCAAAAACACCCTGCAAAATCAAGGTGACTTTTGAGTCGACTAAAAAATCCTCAAGCGAGGGCTGAGTACATGGCTCAGCATTTGCTCATGCTGACAGAGGTGGCAACAGGTCTACCAGAGGTGGTATTGTTTTGTCGCTTGCTTCTCCTCCTCACTCTCACACACGCTCGCCCAGTCTCCTTCCTCCCATCCATCACCCCCAAGTGCAACCATCCAGCGATGAGCGCAGCGAGGAGGTGCCGGACGCTTTTTTCCTCAGCAAAGTGATGAGTTCAACAACCCCCGCCTCTTTCTCCCCCCCCTCCCCCCACCTCCCCCCCAGCGCAACCATCCAGCGATGAGCACAGCATGGATGTGCTTTGCCCTTTCTTTCTCAGGCGAAGCGTTAGCAGAAGTGGTGTCGGAGCAAGTAGGGTTAACTTCTAACTCAACATTTTTCCTTTTTCTCGCTCCCGCCTGTCCCCCCCAGCACAACCGTCCAGCGACGAGCGCAGCAAGGAGGTGCTTGGCGCCTTTTTCCTCGGCAAGGCAGTAGCAAAAGTGGTGTCTGAGAATTTTGTGGTCAGCTGTCAATTCACACATTTCTATTCCCGTTTTCATCCCATTCTCCCATTTTTCTCCCTTCCGCCCTCGCCTCCAGCGCAACCAGCCAGCGATGAGCGCAGCAAGGAGGTGCTTGACGCCTTTTTCCTCGGCAAGGCAGTAGCAGAGGTGGTGTCCGAGAGAGTGGGGTCTGCTGTGGGGGAGATTCTGAGTGAAGTGGGGAGAAGGCAGGCGGAGCAGCAGCAGCAGATTAAACAATTTCAGGTGAGCCTATGTCTCATTAACAGATTGACCAAGGCAGGGGTGGTGTAATTTCAGAAAGAGTGGGGTCTGCTGTGGGGAGACCAGTGGGGAGACCAGTGGGGAGACGTCAGGCCGGGCAACAGCATCAGATCAAGCAATTCCAGGTGAGCCTATGTCGGATTGACCAAGACACAGGTGGTGTGAAGTCACCTGGGGGGAGACGGCAGGTCGCAAAACCGCAGCAGGTCAAGCAACTCGAGGTGACCTTATGCTGGACCAACCAAGGCAGAAGTGATGTCGGAGAGAGTGGGGTCTGCTGTGGGGGAGGTCCTGAGTGAAGTGGGGAGAATGCAGGCTGAGCAACAGCAGCACATCAAACAGTTCCAGGTGAGTTGATGTCTGATTAAGAGATTGACCAAGGCAGAGGTGGTGTCAGAGAGAGTGGGATCTGCTGTGGGGTGATCCTGAGTGAGGTGCTGAGTGAGGTCCTGAGTGAAGTGGGGGGACTGCAGGCTGAGCAACAGTGGAAACCCAACGATTCCAGGGAGCATGGAATCACACGTTTTGCACATTTGCTTATTCTATGCGGCAAAGATGGCAGGGTAAGGCGTTTCCAAAACCTTCCTGCCAGTTCTGAATTTCAAACCTTTCTGTTCTGCGCCTCCGAATCTGTGGTAAACGTCTGGCAGGAGGAGGTGAAGGAGAGGGCAAGGGAGGCACTGGAACGAGCAGCTAAGGATGCCAAAAAATAGGCAGCATGTTAACTTATCACCTAGACTACTACTAGCACTAGCTACTACTGTTTGGAGAGACTTCTAGGGTACATGGTTTCACCTACTACGAACCTCGTGTCCGAAACATCACAGGCGGCACTGCCAGCCGGGGTAAATGCTTAGGTGTTGCAATTTGCAAACGTGATATACAGGCTGGGTCTGCTGTCACCATGGTACCATGTTGAACTGATGCTCATTCCATTAAAGCTCAACACTGGCTTGGAACTTGGAAGCCTAGCAAATAGGGCCTCAACTCAATGACAATATGCACAAATCATAAACAATGTAAACAGGAAAAGACCATCTCATACAAGCACCACTGACTGAATGGCACTTGGACGACCGAAGAAGCAAACACTGCTGCGTGCTGCTCACCTCAATTGAGGCCTGAAGAGGCATCTATTACGGCACTCTCCCCACAGGCTCCTTCAGGCTCTTTCTATAGGAGCGTTCGAGCTGTACCATCTGGTAGTAAGCTCTCTCCTAGCAGTCTCCAACAAGGTGCAGTACTCTTGAAGTCCAAGTACTACACCCCAGGCAAACAGGCACACTGCCTCCCAGGGTTATTTACCCTGAAGGAAGAGATTGACCTCCCAGCCCAGCGCCTGTTTCCAGCCATGCTTCCTTCTTGAGGATTCAAGAGCCAAATTTGGCATTCAAGACTCCGTTGTAACACTTGAGGAGCTTGCTGTAACGGCTCTGCCTGCGAAGGCTCTCTGAACTGCTGCTTCCAGGCTCTCCTTGAGCAGATTCTCCCTGTCAGCATCCTCGATAAGGTCACAACCCTGTACAAGTAAGTCCTCCTTATATCGGGTGCTGCCAGTCATGTCTGCCTGGATGTCTTCATACAGATTCCGCACCGACTTGCGTGAAGAGCGGTACTTATATAAGAGCCGGCGCATAGTCCGAAGCCGTTGCATCCACTGCTTCTTTGAAGCTTGCTCCTGAGCTGCACGCTGGCGCTTAACTGAAACGGAAAACGTCAAGAAGGGAGGTTTGATAAGTGAAGGGTTTAGTCTCAAGGGTTCTAGACAAGATTTATACAAGATTAGGCATTTGACGGACCGAGAAGCTACTGGAGCGGTTCTTAAACCGAAATCGAGAATTTAAAGACGAGAAAAGCGGATGGCCAGAGAGTGTCGGTTGTGAAGCGAGCCTCACTTTGCCACGCGTGTCCGTTGTCGCGTTTCGCAGCCATCAGCAGACGCATGCGAAGGCAAGCATGGGTCATTAAGAGCGACTGGTTTCGGGACGAGATGGAGCGATCGGCTAGTCGATGAAGCTGCACGATCTGCCGAGTTGGTCCCTCGTTATAGGATACTGCGTTAAGATATCCTCCGTTAAGATCGACTTCGACTGCGGTGAGCGCCATGATGTTAAACCTCTCACCCCTTGTCCGAAGACTTGAAACCAACGCTTGTGGTGGCACGAAAGCCTGAAGAATAAACGGCTAATAAGCCATGATAGTGTGATTCTTACTCTGAGAAATCACTCGAGAACTACTGTGTACATAGTATGGAAGAGATGGAGAAAAGACATGCAATCAGGTCATGGCGTCCGCCGTAATATATACTGCCAAATGAAAGAGTTATCACAAAGCCATGGTGGCAGGTGTTGTTTGGTGGTCATCCATGGTGGCATATGCTTCAGAGAGCCATAGCTACTGACGGAATAAATAGAGACGAAATCCGTCATCCAAAGCTCTTTCCGCCACAGGACGAACCAGAAAGCGTCTGCTGCAAGAAAGCGTTGCCGCGAGAAAAAGCGACGACGGGAAAATCTGGGTGCCGCCGAGTGGGGGGCGGAAACTCCTCCGGCGGAAGCGTGGGGCAGGCATAGGGGTGGAGGGGAATGGGGGAGAAGGAGCGGTGGAGGGCGGTTGGGGGGGTTTCCGCCTCTTGGCTTCTGTTGATGTGCATCAAAACGGAATCTCGAATTCCCCCCAACGACCTCCGCGACTCCCCTTGACGGAGCAGCTCCCCCCGCGCGCCTCTTGGTGGTTGGTAAGGTTGGTTGGGTGAGCCGCGGGAGGCTCTGGGCCACACGTTTCGGAGGCTTTGAAGGTTTTGGGGACAGCATGTGGTTCCAGGTTCAGGGTTCATGATCAAAGCATATTGGAAGTACAGTTTGAATATGCTTCTCAAAATCGTTGAGGCAAATCCTCCAGAAAATGATCAGTGAGGGGCGGGGAAAAACACTGTATCGGTTGGAGATATAGCGAGGTTATCGCGTATCTAATACCCCCTGCCCGTGGCATTTCCGCGAAAACCACGCGTGTCTGACGATCTTCGCCGACACACGAGAAAATGTTCGCAAAGCACAAGACGCAGATTCTTTGGCCCAGAACCGCCACCTCACCAATATTCCACGTGGATACCACACGCAATGACGCCGAACGTGGTCCCCCGCAGGGTCGCAGGGATGAAATCCACCTCTTTCAGTGGTCCCCCCTCATCGGCTTCCTGCTTTCGCTCACTCGTCCAGCTCACCAGATTGGACCACCGGTAACTCCAGCTCAGGAGCAACGCTCCCCATGCAGACCAGCTTCTGCTGCATTTCTGGATTTTTAGGATTCCTCTCATTACAGCTTGTGCTCCATTGTTCTGGATTCCAGCTTCAGAATCCCAGATATCTCCACAATTTCGCCAGGAGCAAGAATCCGCAGTAGCAGCTCCTTGCGTGACTCACGCCGGTGGTCTGGTTTCATGCTCGCTAATTACCACGCTTGACAGCGTGATAGATTTGCTTCTTGTTCGGCATTTCCGAACCGGAGGTTTTTCCTGCTTGATTTCGCCTAGCATCCCAACGCGCGACCAGGTACTTTAGTTCCATCCTCGGTCAACGCCTGAACGTTTTTCTACCAGAGTTCATATTCATCTGACGTTAGCTTTCCACGTCTGCAGAACCATGGCCAACCCATTCCAGCGCTTGGTCACGGAGCTGCCGAACCCCGATGGCGGCTCCTTCGGCTCATTTTACAGCCTTCCCGCTCTCAACGACTCTCGCATCGGTACCTAAATTCGCATAGTCGTTTAATTTCCTTAATGTTCTGTCCCAAGAAAGCTCCGTTCTTTTCACTCTGCCTGATTCATGCCTCGATTCTGCTTCCGCAGATGAGCTTCCTATCTCCATTCGGTACCTCCTGGAGTCCGCCATTCGCAACTGCGACAACTTCCAGGTCATGGAGAAGGACATCGAGAAGATTCTCGACTGGGCGAACACTTCACAGCACCAAGTCGAGATCCCCTTCAAGCCAGCGCGTGTCATCCTGCAGGTTCGCAACCGCCTGTCCGATTCCTTTACTGAATTGAACGTCCTACTGGAATTCAGCGTGTTTCGTTCAACGATAGTTGATGCATGTTGCTGTACGTCTGTGTGAGTAATCGTTTTCCTTGTATCGTATTGTCAGGATTTCACTGGCGTTCCGGCCGTCGTGGACCTTGCTGCAATGAGGGACGCAATGAAGGAATCTGGAGGCGATCCTTCTGCCATCAACCCTCAGGTGCGTTCTAGTTCTCTGCACGCATCAAGCTGTTTGCCGTTCGCTTTCGCACTTCAGATTCGTCTCGTCTTCGGCTTATCGCATTTCCCGAAGTTTCGAGTGTTCCATACCTCCTGAATTGAGGGCGCTTACGGTCCTTTTGTTAATTTCCCTCCCCATGGTATCCAATTTCAGGTGCCAGTGGATCTGATGATCGACCACTTGGTGCAGGGACTAGCGGGGGCGTCCAACCTTGGAATTCAACTTCTTTCATAACTTCTGAAAAAAGGTGTTCCGTCCCATGCCATCTAATTCCAGGTGCCTGTGGATTTGGTGATCGATCACTCGGTGCAAGTGGACTTCGCGGGAGCGTCCAACGCGCTGAGCCTCAACATGGAGCGCGAGTTCGAGCGCAACAGGGAGAGGTTCGCCTTCCTCAAGTGGGGCTCCAAGGCCTTCAGCAACATGCTCGTCGTGCCGCCTGGCGCTGGTATCGTGCATCAGGTGGGTCCCTTGCAATACTTGATCCACGGTAACTACGGAACACCCGCTGTATTAGGTGTTCGCCGTGCTCCCGCCTGGCCGCTGGCGTCGTGCACCAGACGGTTTCGTGGAATTACGTGGTCTTGTATAACTTTTTTTTGGCGTTGACACCGTGCCTGCTTTTCATAAACAGGAGTTCTTGACGTATGGATGAGAATGATTTGTCCTCTTTCTGCTCACATTGCGATGGGGATAGCTGAACCTTTATTGGCATCATATCTAATGCGCAGGTGAATCTGGAGTACCTCGCACGGGTCGTGATGGACATCAACGGGCTCCTCTATCCCGACAGCGTGGTCGGCACCGACTCCCACACCACCATGATCGACGGGCTCGGCGTCGCCGGGTGGGGCGTGGGCGGAATCGAGGCCGAAGCAGCCATGCTTGGCCAGGCCATGAGCATGGTCCTCCCCCAAGTCGTGGGCTTTAAGCTCACCGGGAAGCTCCAGCCGGGAGTCACCGCCACGGACCTGGTGCTCACGTGCACGCAGATGCTGCGCAAGCACGGCGTGGTGGGGAAATTCGTGGAGTTTTACGGCGAGGGGACGAGGGAGCTGTCCCTGGCGGACCGGGCGACGGTGGCGAACATGTCGCCCGAGTATGGCGCGACCATGGGGTTCTTCCCCGTGGATTCGGTAACGCTGCAGTATTTGAAGATCACGGGGAGGGATGAGACGAAGCTGAAGCAGATTGAGGCGTACATGCGCGCTAACCACCTCTTCATGGACCACGCTACTGTGAGTTAGTTATAGCCTTTTCCGAGATTCCAACTGACTGTGCGTAGCCTTTGGTCCAGGCAGAGTTGGGTGTTTTGAGCTGTGAGCTGCTTGCCGTCCTTTTACCTCCACTCCACTGACTTTCTCTATGGTTATCACTGCCCTTTTTCTCCTCCTATCCTCCTATTCCTTGTTAAATTGTGTGCTTGTTGCCTCAGGCTGGTGAGGCAGAGGCCAAACGCAAGTACTCCTCCTACCTGGAGCTGGACCTTTCCACTGTGGAGCCCTGCGTCTCTGGACCTAAGAGGTGAGCTTTTCTACGGCTGGTGCTTCTTCAGTAAGGCACCTCTCAAGCCTATTCGCCTTACACTTTTCCCCTACTTTTCATAATGGCCTGATGTGACATGGTTGCTCACTGCGTTCTTCTCTTCTGGTCTCGTGCTTCCCTTCTTTGGTTCCATGCAGGCCTCATGATCGTGTGACCCTCAAAACCATGAAGTCCGACTGGCAGTCCTGCCTCGACAATCCCGTCGGCTTCAAGGCAAGTTGCTCCAGGAACAGCAGAATTAGGTGTGGGAATGATAGTGAATGAAGGAGAGAGACTCTGTGAATTCGCACATCGTTCCACTCCAACCCACTTTCCCACGCTTATGTGTCTGCTTGCTGTGTCTCTCGACACCCACCCCACTTTCTTGCATCTAGGGCTTTGCCATTCCCAATGGTTTTGGGTTTAGTTTGGTGAATGTGACAGTCAAAGAAGGAGTCGACTCCGAGCTGAGGCACGGATCCATGGTGACTGCGGCCATCACCCCATTGTGCACCAACACATCCAGCCCCTCAGTCATGCTAATAAATGTGCTCTTTGGTCTCTACCCAACTCGCTCTCCCCTGGTGCAGGGCTTTGCCATCCCCAAGGCCCAGCAGGACAAAGGTGGTGAATGTGACGGTCAAGGAGGGAGTCGAGTCCGAGTTGAGGCACGGGTCCGTGGTGATCGCAGCCATCACGCCGTGCACCAACACGTTCAACCCCTCGGTGATGCTCACATCCCTTCATACCGCGTCTCTACCCAACTCCCTCTTTCCCCTGCGCAGGGCTTCGCCATCCCCAAGGCCCAGCAGGACAAGGTGGTGAAGGTGACGGTCAAGGAAGGGGTGGAGTCCGAGTTGAGGCACGGGTCCGTGGTGATTGCGGCCATCACGTCGTGCACCAACACGTCCAACCCCTCGGTCATGCTCGCTGCGGCCCTGGTGGCGAAGAAGGCGAGTGAGAGAGGGCTCAAGGTGAAGCCGTACGTGAAGACCAGCCTGGCGCCCGGGTCCAACGTCGTCACCAAGTACCTCGAAGCCAGGTGAGCGGGCGGGGGTTTTGTGCCCCTGGCTGGAATATTCCGGGTTTATGCAAGGGTGATTATTCAGCAGCATTCAGCAGCAAGGTGAAACCGTACGTGAAGACCAGCCTGGCTCCTGGGTCCAACATTGTCACCAAGTACCTGAAAGCCAGGTGAGGGGCTGGGTGTGTTCACCGTTTTAAGTTTCCGGGTTTTTGCAAGGGCGCTGCGTAGTCAGCAGCAATGAGGGGGGCTCAAGGAGAAGCTTTTTTTTTAAGACCAACCTGGCTCCTGGTCTAATGTAAGCAGGTGAGAACGGCTGGCGTTTTGCTGTCCTTTTCAGGGCTTGGGAATAACAGCAACGTGCACACCTTCAGATTTCCACATGATGGGCGGTGGTTGTGGCTGTATCACGTGTCTTCGGCACTCAATCATTGTCCTTGCTCTTTTCCACATTCCGTTGCGTGCAGTGGTCTGCTTCCTTCGCTTGAGGGCCAGGGCTTCCACGTGGTGGGCTACGGCTGCACAACGTGCATTGGGAACTCGGGAGAGATTCCGGAGTCCGTGGGACAGGCCATCTCCGACAATGGTACGATGCAAGCGCATATTGTAGCAATATATGCTGGGGTTCACGCTGAAGTAAAGTTGGCAATCAAACACCACGATAAATGCACGGTTTTGTTAAAACAAGTTCCTCTGATACTTGGTCGTAGTGTTGGTCACCCCCTCACCTTCTGGTTGGTGCTTTTTAATAGCCCTAACTTTAAGGGGCATAAGCATCCACTTACCAGAGCCAACCCTCCTCTCTCCCTTCCCCGTTCCCCCCCCCTCTTCCTCCGTCTCCTGCACCAAACAACAGACCTCGTGGCAGCAGCGGTGCTCTCTGGTAACCGTAACTTTGAGGGCCGCGTGCATCCGCTCACCAGGGCCAACTACCTTGCTTCCCCGCCCCTCGTCGTTGCATACGCCCTTGCTGGCACGGTGAGTAGTTGTGAGCTAGACGCTTGCTGGCTGGACAAGTGGCAGGGGGCTAGAAGCTTGCTGGCTGAGAAGTGGTAGGGCGCTAGAAGCTTGCTGGCAGGATAAGTGGTAGCATGTATCCGCTCACCAGCGCTGCCTTATTCTATGCCCGTCTCTCATTGTTGCATATGCCCTTGCTGGCGCGGTGTGTGGTGGTTGTGGGGGCTTGACGCTGCCCTTGTTGTTTGGCTGACGTTGCTCTTGTCGCTACCCTCACCTGAGCCGAATCTCGCCCCGCCCCCCGTCGTGGCGTGGCATCTGCCCTTGCCAGAAGTCATCTGTCCCGTATCCCCTCCCTCACATTATTGCATGGGCGCATGGTTCACACTTTTCTGTGCGCAGGTGGACATTGACTTTGAGACACAGCCCATTGGCACGGACACCGACGGCAAGGAGGTGTTTCTCAGAGACATTTGGCCCAGCAACGAGGAGGTGGCAGAGGTGCGTGCATCAGGGTGCAGGTCGCTTGCACCCCATATATACACCTTGCTTTTTAGCCCACTGTGCACTTTCATGTGAGCCCATTGGCTCGGACACGGACGGCAAGGAGGTGTTCCTCGGAGACATCTGGCCCAGCAACGAGGAGGTGGCAGAGGTGCGTGCGTCAGGGTGCCGTCACTCTCATCCCGTAAGCACCTCTTGCTGTAAACCCATGGAACACTTGCATATGAGCCTATTGGCACGGACAGTGCTCCGGCAATTTGCCCAGTCGGTGTACAAGGCAGTGAAGGAGGGCGCCACCAACGCCCTCTTCCCCACAGCCACCGCTCTCCCTCCTACCCAAAACCCCGAACCTTCAACCCAGGTGGTGGCGAGGGCGGTACTCCCGCAGTTCGTCCAGTCGGTGTACAAGTCAGCGAAGTAGGGCTCCACCAACGCCCTCTTCCTCACAATGCTCTTCTCTTGCCATCCCAAAACCCCCAAAATCCTCAATCCTGGCAGGTGGAGAGGATGGTTCTCCCGCAATTCTTCCAGTCGGTCTACAAGGCAGCGAAGGAGTGCGCCACCATCGCGCTCCTCCTCACAATCAACCCTTTCTCCTCTGTCCAAAACCCTTCAACCTTAAACCCTGCCGCAGGTGGTGGAGCGGGCGGTTCTCCCCCAGTTTTTCCAGTCGGTGTACAAGGCAGTGAAGGAGGGCGCCACCAACGCGCTCTGGAACGGGCTGCCTGCTGAGAACGAGCCTCTGTACCGCTGGGACCCCTCCTCCACTTACATCCACGACCCGCCCTACTTCAAGAACTTCCCCCTCAACCCCCCTGGCGGGAAGGACGTTAAGGAGGCGTACTGCCTGCTGAACCTGGGGGATTCGATCACCACCGACCATATCTCGCCCGCAGGTTAGTTGAGAGTGTACGAGTGTTGGGAGCAACGCTAGAGGCTGTGAATTGCAAGGACGTGACAGGGGCGTACTGGCGTGCAGGAGGGCGCTCCTGCAGGTTGGTAGAGAGAGGAGATGAATGGAAGGAGTACGGCACCCTAAGTCCCTGGTTGTTTGGTAGTCGGGTCCTCTGCCGATGAGAAGAGTAACTGCCAGACCCACTCCTCCATCTACGTCCCTCCCTACTCCCTACTTGAACCCTTACGGCAGCAGGCAGGGCAATGATGAGGTCACGACTGCCTCCTCGTTGTTGCGCCGCCTGCTGGGGCGACGAGGTCACGACTCAACGCAAACCATTTTCTCTTCCACTTTCCCCCTTGCCTCCTCCCACACACCAGGCAGTATCCACGAGGCCAGCGCAGCTGCCAAGTTCCTTACAGAGCGTGGAGTGGTTCGGAAGGACTTCAACTCGTACGGCAGCAGGCGGCCCCCTCACCCTCCTCCCGGTCCCTTTCCCTCTTACCTGAAAGCTTACCCTCTCCCAGGGAGCATCCACAAGGACAGCGCTGCTGCTAAGTTCCTCACAGAGCGTGAGGTGCCCCGCAAGGTCTTCAACTCCTACAGCAGAGACACCCCTCTCACTCCCCATCCCCTTCCCTGTTGCACTATTCCTGTTCGCTCCCACCAACCTAAATCCTACCCCTTTCCGGGCAGCATCCACAAGGACAGCGCTCCTGCTAAGTTCCTCACAGAGCGTGGGATGGCCCTGAAGGACTTCAACTCGTACGGCAGCAGGCAATGACGAGGTCATGACTCGAGGAGCCACTGCCCACACAGCTCTACCTTCCCTTCTCTACCCAACCCACCTTCCCACTTTCCAGGGAGCATTCACAAGGACAGCGCTGCTGCCAAGTTCTTAACCGAACGCGGAGTAGCCCGGAAGGACTTCAACTCGTACGGCAGCAGGCGGGGCAACGATGAGGTCATGACTCGCGGCACGTTTGCGAATATCCGGCTGGTGAACAAGCTCATGGGAGGGGAGGTGGGGCCCAAGACAGTGCACCTGCCCTCGGGGGAGAAGATGACCGTCTTTGATGCTGCTATGGTGAGTGGCAGCTAGGGTGCAGCAGGGTTCCTAGCAACATAGGCACGTTCGCGAATATCCGGCTGGTGAACTAGTTGGCAGGAGGGGAGGTGGGGCCCAAGACGTTGCACCTGCCCTCGGGGAAGAAGATGGCCGTCTTTGATGCTGCCATGGTGGGTGGTAGCTAGGATGTAACGTGGTTGCCGGCAGGGGGCGATCGGGTTACCAGCAGAGAGAGGTAGGGTTCCCAGCAGGGAGAGGTAGGGTTACCAGCAGGGAGAGGTAGGGTTACCAGCAGGGAGAGGTAGGGTTACAAGCAGGGAGAGGTAGGGTTACCAGCAGGGACAGATAGGGTTACCAGCATGGAGAGGTAGCGTTACCAGCAGGGAGAGGCTATCCCGCTATCGTCCTGGCAGGGGGGGAGTATGGAAGCGGCTTGTCCCGTGACTGTCTATGTGACAGTGACTGTCTAATGCTACAATTTCTGGATCTGTTTTCGCTTGTATGTGGCGGAGGTATAAGGCGGAGGGCCATGCCACAATCGTCCTGGCAGGGGCGGGGTATGGCAGCAGCACGCCGCATGACTGCCCGATTCACTGTCCAATGCTGCTGTCTCTCTCTATCTTTGTCCGTTGTGTGCCCTTGAGCAGAGGTATAAGGTGGAGGGTCATCCCACGATCGTCCTGGCAGGGGCGGAGTATGGGAGTGGTTCGTCACGTGACTGGGCTGCCAAGGGGCCTTACCTGCAGGTAAGGGCTTGAGAAACAGGGTACGAAAGTGCCTGGGCTTGGAGCATGGGTTCGGAATGCATGGTCTGGAATGGATAGGTTAAGCGCGCATGTGAGAGCAACTCTACTCTGCGTTATTGGACTCCTCCCACTCTCCTTGAGAATCCTCCCTCCCTCACTCCTGCCCTGCGTTATTGGACTCGAATCCCTGCGTATTCTTCTTCTTTCTCTCATCCCCCTCCCCGCTCTCCCTTCCTTCCTTCCCGCTCCACCACAGGGAGTGCGAGCGGTGATCTCTGTCTCCTTTGAGCGCATCCACCGCAGCAACCTGGTGGGCATGGGCATCATTCCGCTCTGCTTCAAGGCTGGGGAAAACGCCGAGACCCTGGGGCTCACAGGGAAGGAGCGCTTCTCCTTCGCCCTGCCGCCTGTGGATCAGATCCACCCCGGCCAAGATGTGGTTGTTTCCACTGATAATGGGAAGAGCTTTACCTGCACGCTACGCTTCGATACTGAGGTGAGCTATACTGGGCAGTAGAGAGTAGTAGTAGTAGTGGTGCTGGTGGTGTTGTTGGTGGTGGTGGTGCTGGATTGAGAGGCTCTCAGGCAGGGAGCGCTGAGGCCCTGGGGCTGACAGGGAAGGGGCGCTTCTCCTTCGACCTGCCGCCCGGGGATCAGATCCACCCAGGGCAAGTCGTGGTGGTTTCCACCGATTCTGGGGAAAGCTTTACCTGCACTCTGCGATTCGACACTGAGGTGAGCTACTGGGGCAGCTAGCAGTCTCTGACACAAGCAGTACCGCATCACAGGCAGGGAGGCAGGGGAGGCAGGGAGGCAGGGGAGGCAGGGAGGCAGGGGAGGGCATTCTCCCTTCGCCTTGTCGCCGGTGGATCAGATACTTCCAGGGCAAGTCGTTCACATGCTGTTTTGTGAGGGGCGGTTCTTGTGCGGTTCTTGATTCTGTTGGTGCTGCTGTGTTTGACCAAGTGAGTGAGGCTTGTTCTTTCTCTTCCTATGGCTGCAGCTTGAGAAGGCCTACTACAATCACGGGGGCATTCTGCACTTTGTGCTGCGACAGCTGCTTTCCAAGTCTACCACTGCGTGAATTGAACCTGGTGCTGAGCGCTGCTGGGTTACCTGAGTCACAGGGAGGGTAGGGGGCAGGCTGGAAGCACGACATTTGCATGCAGTATGTGCTGCGACAGCTGCTTGGCTTGACAGCTGCTGTTTGGCAGGTTACTGAGTGGTGTTTTGGATGCTTCACAGCAAAATTGGGGCTGGAAGAGTGTGTCCTTCCCGTGCCAGTGCCTTGGACCATGATGAGTTGCATCTCATCCAACCACCTGTGCACATTGTCTGGCGTTTTTCGTTGTATTTTGAAAAAGGTGTCCACGATGTTACTTATGTGTTCTGTTGGCAGCGGCACCCTTAGAAAAGGAGCGACAGCAGATATGATAGCACTGCTCGCTCCCACACACTGCATATTGTACTAACCTCCCTGATACACTACCAAGACAAGGGCTTTCACAAAGCTTTCCTGGCAATATCCCACACCCTTCAACAAACACGCAGGCAGCCCTTTCAGTGACACAGAAGACATAGCAGTGTTCATTGATAAATCCCATTAACTCAATTACAGCAGCCCGCCCCTCCTTCCTATGGCCAGTGCAGAAAACCGGAATACACCCGCATTCTGCTCAAACAAGTAACCCTCTTGGCTACTCACCACAACTGGTACTAGTACACATATGAAATCAGATTCTTTACCTTCTCCCCAATACTCAAATCGCCGGCCATACTTGTCAACCCATCAAGCAACCCTCTTGAACCCTGAAAGGTTACCCACTAGTACACATATGGAATGAGCTTCTTCACCTTCTCCCTGTACTCCTCATATCGCCGGCCAAACTTCTCAACCAGATACCCCTCTTCCGCAGATGCCTTAAGGTCGAAAAACACCAGCAGCACAACTGTCATAATACCCCTCCCGGTGCTGTTTGTAAGGAGAGTTATTCCAGATGCGATCAGTACGGCGAGACCATATATCGGGTGACGCACTACCGCGTACATCCCGCCAGTTTGGAGCTGCAAACCAGCCGGCGGCCGGGGTAAACCGGAAAGATTCGGGCCAAACATTTTGGCCGCCCTCGAAGAAAGCGAAACGCCGATAACCAAAAACGCGGCTCCTATAACGTAGTTCAAATACCAGATCTTGCTCGGTACGAAAAACGAGCCCGGGATAAAGGAAGAGAAGAGAAAATCTGGCGGGAAAATGATGAGGGCGAATATCAGGAACTGAACCACCAACCACACCTCGCCTCGTTTCCCCAACTCGCCGTCAGGTACGGAGGCTGCCGAAGCTGGGTCGGAGGCTCGGACATCAGCCTCGGGATCTCCACCAGAGCTGCTTCCCGGGGGGGACGGACCAGCGAAGGGGAGAAGCGGGTCCGTCTCGCGTTTGGCGGAATCACTTCCCCGCATTTTCAGGAATCGCGGATGACTTGGAGCGATGGGCCTGAAACCAACGGCACGGTGTGACGCATTCGAGGGGAAAATGCGACGGGATAATACCGGGGTGGAGGCTCAACAACGCACTATTGTCGGCAATCCCAGGAAAGACCGCAGAGGAGAAAAAGCGGCGACAGCAGTAAGAACCATCCAATTCAGCTGCTGCCTAATCGGCTATGAGAAAGGCACGGACGGGAGAGGCGGCGAAGGGAAGGGGACGTAAATCCGCTTTACGAGACATATGAAGCTATGGAATAAATGGAAGCAAGACGAGGGGAAAGCTAAGCTGAGGGCGTGTCTCAAGAAGGTGTTCGGCCCAGTTTACGACTCCTGTACGTTTTCCGCAAACTGGGTTGCGGCTGTAACCTCAAGTGTAAACTCTCCCACGTGGCCATCTTGCGCCGCGTCACGGTATGACGCGTTTAGGTTGGAAGGGGGGGTAGGGGGAGAGGGGGCCGAAATTATAGGCGATTCGCGAATCTCTTTCGCTTTCTCAACAGTACCTCCCTTCCTGACGAATGCGAAAGAGGTTCGCAAATGATTCCATGTCATCACTCGAGCGACCACGTGGCGACAGGAATTTGCGAGACAACGATATTCCTCCCTGGATACCCCAGCCCAGCGAAGGAAATCCCATAAGAGCATGGACGATGCGATTGCTTCGTTTGTAGTTGCAGGTACAGATGCTGGTTGACGGGTCAGAACTTCCAACTATATGACGAACATATCATGCATCTTCTTCAGTAGTTTGCATGCACTCCTAGCACTTAGCATGTTTACATGTCCACCACCTCCCTTTCTGGGTTTCAGGAGTCCCTTTCCCTGTAAGTATGTTTTATTTGAGTTCCCTACTTTCCTAACTGGATGTGCCAACTCCATTTCATCATCTTCATATAACATAGCTGCAGGCAGAACCTTGACGTGAGCCCAATATCAGGGTCCAACCTCAACAGCACAGCAGCCTGTCTTCGTGAAAGCCAGTCAGAGACTAAGAAGAGATGGAGTTCTAGAGATACAGGACAGCTGGCAGGCTAGTACAGATATGGAATAAGCTTCTTCACTTTCTGCTTGTACTCCTGATACTGCCGGCCATACTTATCAACCAGGTAACCCTCTTCCACTGCAGCTTTCTTGTCAAACAGCAGCAGCAGCAGAACTGTCAGAATTCCCCGTCCTGTACTGCAGGTAAGGAGGGTTAACCCAGTTGCGAGCAGTAGCGCGCCACTGTATATGGGGTGACGCACTACCGCGTACATCCCGCCAGTTTCGAGCTCGGAATCCGTTGGCGGCTTGGGGAAAGGAGAGAGATTCGTCCCGAGATCCTTGACCGCGTTAGAAGAGAACCAGCCGCCAATGCAGAATAACGCGGCTCCTATAACGTAGTTGAAATACCAAACGTCGCTGGGATCGAAAAAGGTGAGCGGGAGCAAGGAAGAGAAGAGGAAATCGGGCGGGAAAGCGATGCCAGCAAATAGTAGCATCTGGATTGCCACGTATTCCTCCCCCCGTTTCCCCAACTCGCCGTCTTTAAACATATTATCCCGAAGCTTCTGCCGACGCTGCTCTTCTGGACTGAGAACTTGTCCTGAGGCTGACGAAGCTGGGTCAGAGGTTTGGTCACCAGCCTCGGTATCTCCAGGGTTGGATGGAGCAGCGAAGGGGAGAAGAGGATCCTTCCCGAGATTGGAGGAAGAAATTTCCCTCATTTTCAGGAGATGTGAATGGCTGTGGTTGCTGCCTCGATGTACGAGCAGCGGCGACTGAGGAGAGGCGAATGCTGACGAAAGCTTCGAAGCTGTTCCTAACGCGGATGTAGGAGCAACTGGATTGAATCCAGCCGTGCGATGGGAGGCATTCGGGAGAAAGAAGCGGGAGCATGATAGCGGGGCGGTGGCTCGACAACGCACCACCATCGACAATCCAAGGAACGTCCGCAGAGGCGAGAAGGCAGTAATAGCCGTGGTAACCATCCCACCCAGGTGCTGTCAGAAAGGACGGGAGCAGCTGCTACGGGAAGTAAGGTGCGAGACAGGATGGGGAGCAGCAGTAGGGTGAATGTCGCAGCAAGGCGACTACGAAGCCAGTAGATCATGCGACCTGGACTGGAATAGAAGAGGAATTTATAAGAGGCGGAAATTATGCTGGATGATGATCAGTTTTCCACTTGCTCACAGATGTGATGGGGATTGGCAAATTTGGAATCTCGTGGAATGTGCGAAATGGTGACGACAGAATTCGCGAGACTTCGCGCTAGACACCTCTTATGAGCGCAACTTCGGGCGAAATGCCGATGAGGTGGGAGCAGCGAAGGTGCGATTGCTTCGCTTGAAGTCGCAGCTACACCGTGAGAGTAAATTTATGAATGTGTAAAAGCAGAAACTCACTTCATTTATGATTTGCAACATTCCATGGATACCACACTATCTACCCCTAGAAAGAGTTCGCGGAAGAACACGCCCAGCGGCTCGTTTTCCTGCCTTAGACACCTCATTTCCCTCAAAGGACAGCTTGTTTTTGTCTCCTACTTCCCTGGCATCATGCATGGCTCCTACGGCAGCTTCTGTTTCGCCATTACATTCGGCCCCAGAGTGTCTTCTTGCACCCTCTGCTTGAGCAGCGTCAGTACCTTCAGGTGAATCTTCATCACTCTTGGCCCAGCGTGTGTGCTCTACATGCTCAACAATGATTGCTAATATTTGATCCCCAAATTGATCTGCTCGCCTCTGCCCGATAACATCTATAAGCTGCAGAGGGGGAGGGGAGAGGGGGGAGAGGAGGGGGAGAGGGGGGGGGGGGGGGGGGGGGGGGGTGGAGCATCGCTGATAAAAAAAAATTGGTGGGAGGGGAGGACGGCATTGCGGAACAACCTGCCATGTTGAGAACACTTCTAAGGTTTTGTCATTGGTAGAGGGCCATACCTGAAGCACGGTGGTCGGCTTAAATTGTGAACGAGCGGAGAGATGGTGGGAGGAGAGCACAGCACGGGGGACAAAGTTGCTGTGTTGAGAACCGGAGGTATGGTGGCCAGAGAAGAATTCCCCGTACCTGAGGTACGGTGGCTGGCTTGGATTGAGAGAGAGCGGAGAGATGGTGGGAGGAGAGCACGGCGTGGGGGAACAAGCCCCCGTGCTGAGAGGCGATGGAACGACGCAATTGGTCGAGACGCCGAGAGAGCTGCGCGTCAGATGCGGCAGTGGCGGCACTGGTAGTATTGGTGGCGGCGGTGGTGGCAGTGGCTGTGGATGGCAAATTGGAATGAGCAATGGCGGTAGCATTGGCGGCTGTAGCAGCAGCAGCAGCAGAAGGGGTTGCAGAAGTTGCTTGCTTGGGCACGTCCATGGTGACTCGCATTTGGCCTGCAGGGTTGGTGACAAGGGAGGATAGCAGCATAGCAGAATGGGCAGTGGTGGTGGCACTGGTAGTATTGGCAGCACGGCTTGCCTTGCATCGACAGCGGGATGATGTGTCATGTCAGCACATGGTGTTGTGTGACATTGTAACGGGGTGACTTTTGAGTCGACTCAAAAGTCACCTCGGGATAACGTGTCAGCACAAGGTACAACCTCACCTCGCAAGGACCATGAAGTCACCTCGCCAAATCAGCTAATTGAGTCAAGCAAGATCACCTGAAAGCACCTGAGATCACCAGGTACAGCTGCGACAAGATGAGTCCGCCTGAGGTCACCTGCTGCAGGCACCTGAGATAATCCAAGACTACCGGCTGCAGGCACCTGAGATAATCCAAGACTACCGGCTGCAGGCACCTGAGATAATCCAAGACTACCGGCTGCAGGCACCTGAGATAATCCAAGACTACCTGCTGCAGGCACCTGAGATAATCCAAGACTACCGGCTGCAGGCACCTGAGATAATCCAAGACTACCTGCTGCAGGCACCTGAGATAATCCAAGACTACCTGCTGCAGGCATCCGAGATTCATCTGAGAGCACCTGAACTCACCTGAGAGAACGCGATGTGCATTGCGGCCCGGAAGCAGGTAGGCGTTTGTGGCATATGGTGAGTGCTGGAACTCCTCCCTCTATAGTCACACATGAGACGGTAAAGCAAACATGGACATGGAAGGCAACTTCTATGAATTGAAAATGGATTTTCACACAAGAACTTCTATATTGCTTAAAAAGAAAAAAAAACTTATGACGTCCAATGGCATCGCCGAAACAAAAGAAGAAAAGCATTCCTTCAAATAATTAGCAGCCCACTTACCAGCACGGAGGACAGCAGCATATGCGTTACAAGCTGCTCTGTCGTCTCCTTAGAAATAAATTTCACCAACGATCCCCAGCTCTCCTCTTCTCCCATCCCCCCTCCCTTCCCACTCCCTCTTCCCCCTGCCTTTCCTCCTCTTCCCCCTCCCCCCCTCCTCCTCCCCCCCCTCCCCCCCTCCTCCTCCTCCCCCTCCCCCCCTCCTCCTCTTCCCCCTCCCCCTCCTCCTCCTCCTCCTCTCCCTCCGGCTCTCCATTGATCAGTCAACTGCAAGAGCGTGAGGGATCGCTCCTTGGACGATTGGGTGGCTTGAACAAACTCAAGGATGGAGCGGGCGTGGGGTGTGAAGTCGTGAGAGCTGTTCGCCCCTCCTCCACTGCAAATGTCGCACATGCCTGGGGGTGGGTAGGCAGGGCAGGGAGTCAGGGACAGAACAAGCGTGTGAGGGATCGCTCCTTGGACGACTGGGTGGCTTGAACAAACTCAAGGATGGAGCGAGCGTTGTTCCTCGACTATCACGTAACACAGTTGTTCCTCGACTATCACGTAACACAGTTGTTCCTCGACTATCGCTTCGCTGACGCCTGCTTTTGAGTCGACTCATAAACAGGGCACTGCACCAGGACTTTGATACGCCGTAACACGGTTGTTCCTCCACAATGCCCTGGACAATGCCCTTGCAGAGGGCATTGCGACAATCGCTTTGCTGAAGCCTGAAATACAATTCTAGGAGAGCATGTCGCATCACATGGCCACAGTTCATGGTCACAATACAATTCTATGCTCTTATCTTCACACTCCCTTGGCTCCTCCCCGAAGTGCTTGAAGATGGCTGTTCGTAAAAAATACCAAGTCAAGTCACTAGCTAGCATCCAGAGTCACTCTCGAAGGCGCCTCAAAACTAGACTTCTATCACGCGGTTTTTTTAGGCGCCTCAAATCTCGATCATGGCTAAGGTCACACATCAAACACTCACACTCTTACCTTCGCACTCTCTCGGCTCCTCCCCAAAGTGCTTGAAGATGGCCGTGCGTCGACATTCCCGGCGATTCTATAAGGGGCAGAGGAAGCAAGGAGGAGAGGGAAGGAGGGGTAGCAGGAAGGGAGGGAGGGAGTTTTCTCCCCAAAGTGCTTGAAGGTGTTCGTGCGTCGATATTCCCGGCGATTCTATAAGGGAGGGAGGGAGGGAGGGAGGGAGGGAGGGAGGGAGGGAGGGAGGGAGGGAGGGAGGGAGGGAGGGAGGGAGGGAGGGAGGGAGGGAGGGAGGGAGGGAGGGAGGGAGGGAGGGAGGGAGGGAGGGAGGGAGGGAGGGAGGGAGGGAGGGAGGGAGGGAGGGAGGGAGGGAGGGAGGGAGGGAGGGAGGGAGGGAGGGAGGGAGGGAGGGAGGGAGGGAGGGAGGGAGGGAGGGAGGGAAGAGGGAACGGAGAGGGAGGGAGGGAAGCGGACTTGAAACTCCTCTCTGAAGGCACCACTCCACTACCCATGCATGCACGCACGTTTACACAATCTCTCACTCTCCCTCACCACTCACCACGGCATATCACCCCATGGCATACAGGTTGTTGAGGCCAACATTCCCGTTCACTGACTCTCTTACGAGCGCCCGCTGCTGCATTGATGCAATGCAACCCCCTCACAACACAAACCCCTCACAACCCCCTCACAACCCCCTCGCAACCCCCTCACAACCCCTCTCACCCTCTCACCATGGCATATCGCCCCATGGCATACAGGTTGATGAGCCCAGCATTCTCTGCGAAGACCATGCTGCTCTGGAACAAGGGGGAGGGACCACTCCAATACCCATGCGCACCCAGTATGAGACTCCTGCTCTCACTATTACCACCCTATCACTATGGACACCCTCTCACCATGGCATATCGCCCCATGGCATACAGGTTGATGAGCCCAGCATTCTCTGGAAAAACCATGCTGCTCTGGAAGGGAGGAGGGATGTCAATGAGGAGAGGGAGGGTGTTTTGAGTGTGTTTGAGCGTGCAGGGAAGGAGGGATGTCAATGAGGGGAGTGTGGGGTTCTTTGAGGATGCTTGAGGGGCACCATGCCATGCAGGGAAGGTGCAGTGCAGTGTGCAGTGGGTGCACACACATTGATAAGCCCAGCATTCTCTGCGAAGACCATGCTACTCTGGAAGGGAGGAGGGATGTCAATGAGGGGAGTGTGGGGCTCGTTGAGGATGCTTGAGGGGCACCACGCCATGCAGGGAAGGTGCAGTGCAGTGCAGTGGGTGCACACACATTGATGAGCCCAGCTGCACTGCACCAACAACACGCTTCTCTGCGAACAAGCGGGAGGAGCATGCTGCACTGCACCAACAACATGCTTCTCTGCGAACAACACGCAGCATAGGATCAAGGGATTAAGGGAGGAGGCGACGAGGAGCGAATGGGAGAAGGAGGAATGAAATGAGGGAGAAGGGGAAGGAGCTGTGAAAGAAGAGGATGCAGCGAGCCAGCAGACCACCTCACCTCACCTCACCTCACTCACCTCACCTCACCTCACCACTCCTCACCTCACCTCACCTCACCACTCCTCACCTCACCTCACCACTCCTTGCCTACCGTTGAGCCCCTATGCCCCCCTGTAACTTTCACACCTCCAAGGCCCCCCTGTACTCGCCTGCTCCCCTAACCCTCTGCAAGCTGACCTGTCTCGGAAGGTCGGCGCATCGAAAGAAGAGAATGCAACGAGCCGGCAGCCCATCCCTGCCTGCCCGACCACTCTCCTGGAAAGAGAATAGAATGGGAGAGGAGAAATGCATTTAAAACTTCTTAGGATTCGCTCTCACGTGTAAGAAGCAGCAAACCGGCAGCCCATACCTGCCTGCCCGACCACTCTCCTGGAGAGAGAATAGAATGTGAGAGGAGAAATGCATTTGAAACTTCTTAGGATTCGCTCTCACATGTAAGAAGCAGCAAACCGGCAGCCCATACCTACCTGCCCGACCACTCTCCTGGAGAGAGAATAGAATGGGAGAGGAGAAATGCATTTGAAACTTCTTAGGATTCGCTCTCACATGTAAGAAGCAGCAAACTGGCAGCCCATACCTGCCTGCCCGACCACTCTCCTGGAGAGAGAATAGAATGGGAGAGGAGAAATGCATTTGAAACTTCTTAGGATTCGCTCTCACATGTAAGAAGCAGCAAACCGGCAGCCCATACCTGCCTGCCCGACCACTCTCCTGGAGAGAGAATAGAATGGGAGAGGAGAAATGCATTTGAAACTTCTTAGGATTCGCTCTCACATGTAAGAAGCAGCAAACTGGCAGCCCATACCTGCCTGCCCGACCACTCTCCTGGAGAGAGAATAGAATGGGAGAGGAGAAATGCATTTGAAACTTCTTAGGATTCGCTCTCACATGTAAGAAGCAGCAAACCGGCAGCCCATACCTGCCTGCCCGACCACTCTCCTGGAGAGAGAATAGAATGGGAGAGGAGAAATGCATTTGAAATTTCTTAGGATTCGCTCTCACGTGTAAGAAACAGCAAACCGGCAGCCCATTCCTGCCTGCCCGACCACTCTCCTGGAAAACAAAATGGGAGAGAGAGAGGGAGACTTGGGGGGAGGAAGGGAACATTAGCTAGAGTTGCTTTTCCTGTTTACCTCTCGCCCTGCTATACCTGCCTTGCTGTACTTTTTCTTCTGCCCATTAATACAAGAACCGCTTGAGAGTTAGGAGAAATGCATTTGGAACTTCTTAGGATTCGCTCTCAAGTGTAAGAAACAGCAAGCTGGCAGACCATCGCTGTCTGACTGCCCGTGCATGCAGTGAACGCCACAAAACACACCGTAACGGAATTAACCGACCTGGTAGTAAGTCCCTATGGATTTGCCGAGTGTATGGTGTATCACAAATCGAGATGATTTTTCAGGTTCAGGCACCTCAAACTCCGCGTGAACTGCGACGATTTTTTAGGTGCCTCAAACTTCAATTTACCTGGTAGTAAGTCTCTATGGATTTGCTGAGCGTATGGTGTATCACAAATCGAACTGCATTGGAACGTGGCGAGGAAGAAGTGGGAATAGGTGGAAGAAACCAACGAGTTAAAAAAATAACGGTAGTTTTTTTTTTTTTAATTCTCAAAATCTCCCACAAAAGGCTACAAACAGGTCATCACCGAAAGAACAGAAAAAGAGAAACCCTTAAAGCGCATTTAAGCTGCACCAGAAGAACATTATGTATTTCAGTCAGTAAATCGGCTATTTTCAGTTTGGAAGGGTTGACTTACCGTCAGGCTTGTTAATACCCATTCCAAACGCCACCTGCAGCGAGGGTTTCACCACCACACACACACAAGCAAAGGGATCTTTAGTTGGGAAATCTGTTATCTTCAGACTTGGAACACATACCATCGGGCTTTTTAGCTCCAAAGGCCACGTTCCCTAAAGGGTTGCTTGTGTGTGTCTACGCATGCACAACGAGTCTTGAACCCGAATCGGAATATTTTTTTTTCCGAATCTTTGGCCTAATAGTAGGTCGGATTCGAGCATGCTTATGTGTGTCCTTCCATGACTTTCGAGCATGCTTATGTGTGTCCTTCCATGACTTTCGAGCATGCTTATGTGTGTCCTTCCATGACTTTCGAGCATGCTTATGTGTGTCCTTCCATGACTTTCGAGCATGCTTATGTGTGTCCTTCCATGACTTTCGAGCATGCTTATGTGTGTCCTTCCATGACTTTCGAGCATGCTTATGTGTGTCCTTCCATGACTTTCGAGCATGCTTATGTGTGTCCTTCCATGACGACACACACAAGCAACGGAGCAAGCGTTTAGGCCGCCTGCCTCAACATGCATGCACTCACTTCACACTTCCAGCGCTCTTAGTACGAGGCAACTTTTGAGTCGACTCAAAAGCCACCGGCCATAACATGCAGCCCAATACGCACCACACACGTATCACTCCAAACTTCCAGCGCTCTTAGTACGCCTCACTGTGCCCCCTCCACTCGTAGTCTCTCCATGCCTCAACTCAACATGACTCAAACTCTCCCACCTCTACCTCGCACCTTCTTTTCCCGTCACTTTCCAATCGACTACAAAATGTGACACTAATCGAGTTTTGAGATGTCTCAGGACTCCAAGTCCCCCCCCGTGCCCTGCTGCGCCCAGTCACTCACAGTGCCCACAATGACTTGGATTTCCCCCCGGCTCCAGCTGGGGTTCAGATTGGGGGAAGATGGGGAGGAATGTGGGGAGAATGGGGGAGATGAGGGGGAGTGAAAAGGCGTAGGTATGCGCAACTTGCTCCCAGGCACTCACAGTGCCCACAATGACTTGGATTTCCCCTTCCCCCCTGCTCCAGCTAGGGGAAGTTTGGGGGGAAATTGGAAGGAATGGGGAATGGGGGGGAGTGGGGGAGAATGGGGGGGAGTGAAAAGGCGGAGGTATGTGCAACTTGCTCCCAGGCACTCACAGTGCCCACGATGACTTGGATTTCCCCTTCCCCCCTGCTCCAGCTAGGGGAAGTTTGGGGGGAAATTGGAAGGAATGGGGAATGGGGGGGAATGGGGGGGAATGGAGGGGAATGGGGGAGAATGGGGGAGAATGGGGGAGAATGGGGGAGAATGGGGGAGAATGGGGGAGAATGGGGGAGAATGGGGGAGAATGGGGGAGAATGGGGGAGATGGGGAGGAGGGGGGAAGACTAAAAAGGTGGAATACTTTCTTGTTCCGTCGTCACTCATGGTTTTTGGAAAGAGCAGCAGTACACAGTAGATCACTTGAGCAAAAAAGAAAGAGAGTGGTCCATGTCATGTCAGCATGGTAGTGTGCTGCTGGTATCCCGAACACACACCATTTCCTTCACACAATAGCCCCACAGTATGCATAATGCATGTGCCTACTAGACTGTGCTTGGTACTTGACGTGCGCGTGAGCCCAGTGGGCCAGGTCTATGTCAGCCAAAATGGTAGCATGCTGCTGGTCGCACACACCTACAACCAGCTGCATGGGCAGCACCTTACGATCCTTACGATCTGCATGGGCATACTACTACCACCACAGTGGCACAATACCAAAACACATGGCGTGCACGTATGCGCAGTGGGTGGGGTCCATCCATATCAGCATGGTAGTGCGCAGCTGAAAAACATTCAGAGCGCATGTGCATCACACCTGGTGTTGGCTGACTTGCACGTGGGTGCGATGGGTGCGGTGGGTGCGGTGGGTGGGGTCCATCCATAACAGCATGGTAGTGCGCTGCTGAGAAACATTCAGAGCGCACGTGCACAACGCCTGGTGTTGTGTGACGTGCTACCTGACGTGCACATGGGTGCGGTGGGTGGGGTCCATATCGGCATGGTAGTGCGCTGCTGGTATTCCTCGGAGCGACAAGTCTGATGCTACCTGGGGGATGATGGGGAAAGAAATAAGAGAGGAGCGAGATGGGCAACCATTTTTGAGGCGCCTCAGAAATAAGAGAGGAGCGAGATGGGCAACCATTTTGAGGCGCCTCAGAAATAAGAGAGGAGCGAGATGGGAAACCAAATGTGGGAAAGAGGAAGATGCGTGGCTCATTCTGACTAAAACTGCTGGTGGATTCCCTGCTTTTTGGTGCAGTGTATGCTCCGAGCATGCAGGAGACAACGGAAAGTGTGGGCGCAGGGGCAAAGGAGCTACTGACGTTCAAGCCCAAGCATTCAAGCATCACGCTGCAACCAACAAGCATAATCTCGCCATGCAGCGGCAAAACGACCTGCTCCAAGCGGCAGCGAGGCAACCTCGCATCAACCAGCATCCTGCGGCCGTCGACATCGAGAAGGAGCGCGCAATCGCTCTGCTGGATGCACTACTCTTCAACTGCCAGAGCAGCGAGCCAATGGAGGCTTGGCTTCGTCTCATGAAGTACCTGTCAAAGAAGAGCGTGAAGGGCTTCCCAAAAAAAGGCTACGGCAGCTACTACAGTGCGTAAGTTGACATACTTAACTGTTTTCCAGTTTCGAAAATGTTTGACAATCTTTGTTAATGCAACGTATGTTTTGTGGTAAAACCGAGTGCACACAGAATACTAACAGCTTCCCTTGCTGATGCTGCCAGGTACGGCTTCGGCGAGTTCACCCAGGCAACTGCAACGTGGCTGCGAACAACCCAGTTGGATCACATCCGCTCGAGCCCCTACCTCGGCCTCAGTTGTGACGAGTCGACGGATTGGTGTCGTGGGAAGCATCTCATCATCTATGCCACCTTCGTGAAGGACAACGCTGTGGTCACAGATGTTTTCGCTCTCTTGACTGTCGACCGGGCGGACGCGGCGTCACTCCTCGGCTTGCTGCTGTCGCACCTTCAGGCAGTCGGCATCGACCTCAACCGCATCAGCGGCATCAGCACCGACGGCGCGGCAGTCATGACTGGTGTCCGCAACGGGCTTGTGGCGCGGCTTCGGACTCGCATACCCCATCTGTTCTCATGCCACTACATCGCTCACAGGTAGGCTCTTGCCTTGGTTGTAGTGGGCAAAGCTGTGGGCATATCTGCTCTCGCCAAACCGGCTCACACCGTACCTGTTCGCACTCCTTCCTTGAGAAGCAGTAGACGATGCCCGAGTCAGAAGGGGCATAGTGATCCAGAATGAAACGAGCTATAGCATCCACTGCTGCTGCTGCATTAGCAGGCTTCTCCCGCACCTAAGAAGGGGGGAGGAGGGCAGGGAGGGCAGTAGACGATGCCCGAGTCAGAGGAGGCATAATGATCCAGAATGAAGTGAGCTATGGCGTCCACTGCTGCTGCTGCATTAGCAGGCTTAACCCGCACCTAAGACAGAATTTACGGTTAAAAACAAGCAAGTATGGTGGAAAACTTTGTTTCGACGGCTCAACCATAGACTCCCGCACATGCAAATTGAGACTTCAACCTTACAGAATCACCAAGCGTCCAATATAGTCACCTAGTAAAACTACTCGGGGCTAACTGACAGGCGAGGAAACATCCATTGGAACACCTTATACCCATCATAGTCACTTCAAGAAACAGCAACTGCCTGCCAATACAGCCACCCCATAGAAGAGATTGGGCCGACTGGCTGAAGCAACCAAACCTGCTATGTAGCCCCCGATTACCTCGAAATAGAATCGCACAGATGCCTCAAATACAACGCAGCCACCTTCTTCAAACAATACGAAAAGAACACAATACAGCCACCTCGTAGAATAGATTGGGGCGGTTGACTGAGGAAACGAAGAGCTCGCAGCGGCGCATTTGCAGCATGTCCCTCACATCGTCCCTCACTCGCTCTGTGGCTGTTGCCTTGGAAAGAGTGAGGCAAAGGGGAGATGTGGAGGAGAATGATCGGATAGTGGCTGGCTAATCCACTAAGAAATCATCTGTAGGATGTCCCTCACGTCGTCCCTCACCTTCTGTGTGGTTGTTGCCTTAATGGGGGGAGAGCGAGGACCAGGGAGGCAGGTAGCAATTTAGCATTTGGAGCATGTCCCTCACATCGTCCCTCACTCGCTCTGTGGCTGTTGCCTTGAGAGAACGGGGGGAGAGAGAGAAGAGCAGGGACAGAGAGATTGGGTCGGCTCACTGAAAGGGCAAAGAGCTCGCATCTCACATTTGAAGCATGCCCCTCATATCGCACCTCACTCGCTCTGTGACAGTTGCCTTGAGAGATCGGGGGGAGAGAGAGAAGAGCAGGGACATATTAGAGATTGGGTCGGCTCACTGAATGGGCAAAGAGCTCGTATCTCACATATGAAGCATGCCCCTTATATCGCCCCTCTCTCGCTCTGTGACTGTTGCCTTGCCTCGAGAGAACGGGGGGAGAGAGAGGGGGTGATGGTGGTGATGGGGCGGACTTGTTGGATGAGCATTTGGAAACAAACTACTACTTTTGAGGCGCCTCAAAAACAGACTCCTCATGCATGGGGCGGACTTGTTGGACGAGCATTTGGAAACAAACTACTACTTCTGAGGCGCCTCAAAAATAGATTCCTCACGCATGGGGCGGACTTGTTGGATGAGCATTTGGAAACAAACTACTACTTTTGAGGCGCCTCAAAAACAGACTCCTCATGCATGGGGCGGACTTGTTGGATGAGCATTTGGAAAAAAACTACTACTTTTGAGGTGCCTCAAAAATAGACTCCTCACGCATGGGGCGGACTTGTTGGATGAGCATTTGGAAACAAACTACTACAGGGTAGAAAACAACAAATGCATTAAAGGGCTTGCACCGATCACAAAATGAGCATAAAGCATGCTGGCATAGAGAGAGTACGGGCACTCACTGTGAGGGCGAGCATGGGCGTCTTGGGGAACTGCCTCTTTGAAACGGAGAGATGGGCATAGTCGGCCTGAAAGTGATGCCCCCACTGAGGAGTGAGACAAGTAAACGTAGACGTCTTTGCGGAAGGGCACTCACTGTGAGGGCGAGCATGGGCGTCTTGGGGAACTGCTTCTTGAGAACTGAGAGATGCGCATAGTCGGGGCGGAAGTCGTGACCCCACTGGCTGCAGCAGTGCGCCTCCTGATTGGATGATGACACAAGGACAGTGGTGAGCAGGGGAGTGGCATGGGGAAGTGGGGGGTTGTGAGAAAAGGGGGCGGGAATCTGCAGAGTCAGGGCGACAGTCATGCCCCCACTGGCTGCAGCAATGCGCCTCCTGATTGGATGATGACACATGGGCATTGTTACCATGTGGTGGTTACCACATAACTACACTACACTCTCGCATCAATGGCGATGAGAGAGAGCCGCCCAGCAGCGTGACACTTCTCCAGCTTGGACATGAACCGCTTGCTGCTTGGCACCTTCGCACGCCCTTTCCATACATGCACCATGGTCCATGGGGCCACAGCGACAGCCTCACATCTATAGCAATGAGCGACAGCCTCCCAGCAGCATGGCACTTCTCCAGCTTGGACATGAACTGCTTGCTCCTCGCTACCTTCTCTGGACTGGAGTCACATAGAGCAGCTTCCATACAGCCAAAACGTGGTTACCACGTGGTTACCACATGGATACAGACTCACATCGATGGCAATGAGCAACAGCCTCCCAGCGGCGTGGCACTTCTCCAGCTTGGACATGAACCGCTTGCTCCTCCTCGCCATCCGCCCAACCAAGTGGCCAACCACCGACCAGTTACCATGTGCACTCACATCAATGGCGATGAGTGACAGGCGGCCAGCTGCGTGGCACTTCTCCAGCTTGGACATGAACCGCTTGCTCCTCGCTACCTTCTCTGGCGTCACATACAGCAGCTTCAGCCCCGCTCCTGCTCCCGGCGCTTGAGCCAACCCCGCTTCCACTCCCCTCCCATTTGCTTCCTCTGCTTCTCCTTTACCCCACTGCTCATCCTCACTCTCGTCCTCCTCCTCCTCCTCCTCCTCAGATTCCGAACCTCTCTTCCGTTTTCCTTTGCCGCTTCCTCCCCTTCTCCCTCCACCTCTCCCCTTCCCCTTCCCCTTATCCAACTTTCCTGTTTCACCCTTCCCCCTTCCTCTCCCCACACTCCCTCCCTTTCCCCCTCCCCTCCCCCTTCCCTTTCCCCTTCCCCTTCCCCCTCCGCAACTTCCACCCAACTCTCCAAACTCAAGAGTTGCGTAGATCTCTTTCTCCTCCTCCTTGGACGTTGTTGATGTTAGCATGGCTGCTGGCACGCCAAAGCCAGAAAGACACATGACCTGTCGGGGCGGGAGAGGGAGAAGGCCAATGGAGGAGCAGGAGGGGACTGGATTGAGCAGCAGAACCCAAAGGAGGGTTCCGAGGCGATCAAATCTCCTCCCTGGATGGTGTTGACATGAGCATGGCACACTAAAGACGGAAAAACACATGACCCATAGGCCTTCACACACAAGATAATCACACTCCATACAATCACCCACCGGGTCGTGGATGAGCGACAGCAGCAGGCTGACCACTAGGGAGATGCCTGGGGAGAGAAGCGCTGGCACCTGGTGCTAGCAGCTGGTGACAGCTGGTAGCGGATCGACTGTATAATCACAATCCATTCACTCACCCACCTGGTCGTGAATGAGGGACAGCAGCGGGCTGACGACAAGGGAGATGCCTGGCGAGAGCAGCACTCGCAGCTGGTAGGAGAGGCTCTTGCTACCCCCTGCTGGCATGATGATTGTGACTATATGCTATGCACCTCCCACCCTCTATAATCACAACCATGTAAGCGCACCTAGTTGTGGGCGACAGACAGCAGTGGGCTGACGACAAGGGAGATGCCTGGGGAGAGCAGTGCAGGCAGCTGGTAGCAGAGGCTCTTGCCGCCCCCTGCTGGCATGATGATTGTGACTATATGCTATGCACCTCCCACCCTCTATAATCACAACCGTGTAAGCGCACCTGGTCGTGAGTGAGCGACAGCAGCGGGCTGACGACCAGGGAAACGCCCGGAGAAAGGAGAGCAGGTAGCTGGTAGCAGAGGCTCTTGCCGCCCCCTGCTGGCATGATGATTGTGACTAAATGCTATGCACCTCCCACCCTCTATAATCACAACCGTGTAAGCGCACCTGGTCGTGAATGAGCGACAGCAGCGGGCTGACGACAAGGGAAATGCCCGGAGAAAGGAGAGCAGGTAGCTGGTAGCAGAGGCTCTTTCCGCCCCCTGCTGGCATGATGACAAACACATCCCTCTTGCACAAGACGGCGTTGACGATCTGCGGGCACACGGTGGGGAGATGGTTCCAAGGGTGGAAGGTAGAGGGAGGGACTGAAGAGAGTATGTATCGGGCTTGACCCCCCTGCTGGCATGATGACAAACACATCCCTCTTGCACAAGACGGCGTTGATGATCTGCAGACTGCAGGGGCGGGAGCGGAGAGGTTACGAGAAGAGGGGAGGACGGGTGAGGGAAAGAGAAGGGTCGCTGCACTGCCTTATGCTTGCATGTCGACAGACAGACACGTCTCTCCTGCACAACACCGCGTTTATGATATAAGAAGTGGGGGGAGACGTTACGAGGAAAAGTGGAGGATAGGGGAGGGATAGAAGAGGAGGGTCGCTGCCTTATGCTTGCATGATGACAGTCGCGTCCCTCCTGCACAGCACGGCGTTGATTATTTGAAGAGGAAAGATGAGGGAGGAGAGGAAAAGAGAGGAGAGGAGGGGAGAGGAAAGGAGAGGAGAGGAGAGGAGAGGAGAGGAGAGGAGAGGAGAGGAGAGGAGAGGAGAGGAGAGGAGAGGAGAGGAGACGAGAGGAGACGAGAGGAGAGGAGAGGAGAGGAGAGGAGAGGAGAGGAGAGGAGACGAGACGAGAGGAGAGGAGACGAGAGGAGAGGAGAGGAGAAGAGAGGAGAGGAGAGGAGAGGAGACGAGAGGAGAGGAGACGAGAGGAGAGGAGAGGAGAGGAGAGGAGAGGAGAGGAGAGGAGAGGAGAGGAGAGGAGAGGAGAGGAGAGGAGAGGAGAGGAGAGGAGAGGAGAGGAGAGGAGAGGAGAGGAGAGGAGAGTAGAGGAATTATGAGGGAGGAGAGTGTCCCCTCACAATGCTCACAGCGTCCCCTCACACACCTCACCCACTTCGCTTCTGAGCATGCTCCCTTACCTCCCTCTGCTGCGATCTGAACCGTCCGATCCCAAACACATCTCGCCCAATTGCCGCCACCTGACCGTCCCACTCAAAGGGAGCTTGCCATCTCGCCTGCGTTTCCAACCCTGCTCCTCCTTCTCCTCCTCCTGCTCCCCGCACACCCACGGATACCCCTAGGTCAGCTTTTGCACCACTACCACTGCCACCAGCGTTTGTGCCCCCGGCGTTTTCATTGATAGCTCCGTTACTAGCATCCGCGTTATTAGCAGCAGTCCAGGCGGCCGCAGCGGCAGCAGAAGCCTCCAACCTGCAGTTAATCTCCTCGCGCCTCTTAATCAGCTGCTCCTGCTCCTCTAAGAGCGCTTCGACCTCCTCCTGTATCTTCTGCAGCCGCGCTTCGACGTCTTCCCGCTCGTCCTCTAGCTCTAGCGCCAAACGCGGATCCATCGGCCGGCCGCAATCGCCGCCGCGATCACCGGCGGGATTCGCGGCGGGATTATCGGCGGCGCCAGCGCTACTGACGCAGGTTGGAGAAGGGATGTGCTCGCCACGCTCGAGACGCTCCCATTGGTCGTCGCTCAGGTCGATAAAGTCGTCCATGTTAGCCGGTTTTGAGGCGCCTCAAAACTAGACGTCCATGTTAGCCGGCTGACTAAAATTTTACTTCCTTCCTACACGTCACGAAGATTCTCTCTATGCGTCCATTTTTCAAGCTCGAGACCCTGCCATTGTCGTCGCTTAGGTAAAAAAAAAGTCGTCCTTTAACAGGCTGACCAGATAGTATCGACTAATCCCCTGCGCAGCAGCAGCAGCTCGGGAACCCGGAATGCCTGGCAAACCCGGAACCGCATCTACGCTCCTAGCAAGAGTGCAGTGTGCTCTGTGTAACCAGCTCCTAGGGAAATGCTGAGTGCAGTGCTACAGAGCTCTTCCCTACACAAAATTTCGTCAGCCATGGCTGGCTCCCTGACTAACAAGACTGATTCCCTCCACGAATTTCGTCAGGCTCGTGGATTCGCGCCTGGGGAATGCCTGGTTCAAATAAATGCATCTACATTCACAAGCGTAAATCCAAAAACCACGTTATGTAAAAACTGGTGCTTTGAAACAACAAATATATAACAGTATGTAAATGAACGTATACACCGTTTTGAAGGGTTTTTCTAGACTTGGATAACACAGTCCATATGCATGGGTATGAACTTCCTTGTTTAGGATAATTTATTTGCACCTCTAACACCTATTTGATGCAACAAACTTTATTTGATCCATGTTCCTATAGCATCCATCAGCTAAGTAGAAAACCACAGGCACTATTGTGTCATTGGTCCTTTGCCTAATGAACCTCAAGCTTCGCCTTGCTGAGGCTTGCGGGAAGATCAGCCGCGCCATGAAAATGGAAACACGCCAGGCGACCCCTTGGAAAGAATCGATCACTACATTCTAATCGTATCTCGGATCGTACCTTTCGATCGTACCTTGCGATCGTACCTTGCGATCGTACCTTGGGATCGTACCGTTCTGGCTTGTCAGCGACTCTTGCGGTGACGCGTAGCGTCGAGTCGCCTAGCCGTACCCGCGACTCGCATCTTCCCGTCTGGTCGCCATGATTATCTTGAAGAAGGCACGCCATGCCGCGACTCGCATCTTCCCGTCCGCGCATCTTCCGTCGTCCGCTCATCTTCCGCCGTCCGCGTATCTTCCACGTTCCGCGCATCTTCCGCCTTCCGATCACCATTCCCCTTCTGCGTCTGCCGTTGCCTTCCTCAAAGCTTCTGCTTCCACGTGTCAGATAGCTGCTCCCTCCACGTGGCAAGCGATCAGCCACGCGCGACCCGCTGAAGCGCACTTCGTCGACTCCAATCGCGAGCCCCTAGCCGGCTGCGATAGACCTTCCATTAGCGAGAGTCCTAGCGTGTCTTCGACGTATACTGAGTCTCCGTATAACGCGTATTCACTAGCAACAGCAAATGCTGCTGCATTCGCCAGAAGCGCGCCGAGCAGACTCGACTCGTCTCATGGGTCCACCAATAGTATTGCTTGTGGAAACAGGAGGAATTACCATCACAGGCACCACCTTTACAGTCACTTTTTACACAGTCACCTCTCCCATGGATGTCACGAGCCGTCTCAAACCCCTATAGCGAGTACAGCTCGGATGCTCCACATGTCCCACTGTAGACCCGGCAAGACGTCACCTTACAATATGACTGTAGAGAAGCACGCATCTCATATAGAGTCACCTCAAGGCTCTATAACGGGTACAGCTCGTTCTCTCCACATTCACCACCATAAGCCCGGAAAAATGTCGTTTTACGACATGACTGTAGAAAAGTATGCTTCTCTGCCGCTCCATACGCTGACACTTAGGCAGATGCTGGCGCAGGGGGAGGAGGCACTTAAAGACCCCAATTTTATGGTGCGCAACGCACGGTGGGTGCTTAGCTAAGTGGGTGAATATTGGATAGACTTAAGTAAGCCTTTTAGCTGCTAATATTCGCAACTGGCAGTGTTCAGTGTTGTTACCTTCCCCCTTGGCAGTGCTTGCTTCCGTTATGTGTGTTTGCACATGAGTTTTGTTGTTTTATTGTTTTGTTTTTTTCTGTAATTTCGTATGTTTGTGTCAGTCTTCGCCTCCTGCCCCCATTGGTCTATTTCTCACAGGTTCGTTCACAAGGAGATGCCTGTGCGCCTGGCGAAAAGGCTGATGGATCTGCAGTTTCTGCCACACATCGTCGTCATCAACCCGCACATCAAGCAGGTGTGGCTATATGGCCTTAACTAGGCTGGAACCTGAGTGACAGCTCACCTCTAGCTCACCTCTCTTCACCACGTGGCTGGCGAAGAGGCTGATAGACCTGCAGTTTCTGCCACACGTCGTCGTCATCAACCCGCACATCAAGCAGGTGAGGCTATATGGCTACTTAAGATCACATCAAGCAGGTTAACTAGGTTGTAACCTGAGTGATCGCTCACCTCTAGCTCACCTCTTCTTCATCGCGAGATGCCTGTGCGCCTGGCTAAAAGGCTGATGAACCTTCTTTCTGCAGGTCTACGACGCCACCGCCAGGCCTTTGACATGCTCATAGCCTTTCTCTTTTTAGCCTTACACGGCCCTGTGACTGCTTGTTGTGCCCATATACCCATTTTCGCCCCACACTGGCAGGTGTATGACTCCTACCGCCAGGCCTTTGACATGCTCACAGCGTTTCCGGAGATCAAGACTCTTGAGGATAACGCGAAATTCACACAGATGATAACCATGGTGTGTGTTGATGCGTTGAAGGTGTATTTTATAGGGTTAACCATGGTGTGTGTTGATGCGTTGAAGGTGTATTTTATAGGGTTAACCATGGTGTGTGTTGATGCGTTGAAGGTGTATTTTATAGGGTGAACCATGGTACGTGTTGATGCGTTGAAGGTGCTTTTTATAGGGTTAACCATGGTGGGAAAAGCCTTGCGAGGCAGCGGTTCTGAAAAAGCTCGGGCTGAAGGGATGTTCAGGAGGTTTTGATGGAAAACCAGTGATGAACTAGTTTTGGCTTATACAAGCCTTCATCAGCATGGTTAACCCTGAGAACTATGGGTCCATTGATAACCATGGTATGTGTTAATGCGTTGAAGGTGTATTTTATAACTGGTTTGTGTATTTTATAACCAGTCTCCTCACTGTTTGAAGATAACGCTAATTTCACACAGACGGTAACCATGGTGCATCGCATTGCGTCAAAGATACACTCTATAACGAGTATGTTGGGTTTAACATGCCCACGGCCTTTCCAGAGATCAAAACGCTTTAAGACAACGCGAAATTCACACAGATGCTGACAATGGTGAGTGCAATTGTTGTACAGGGGTTCGCTGTAGTGGGTACTTGTATCCTTGGGAGTTCCCTGTCTTCTTGAGATGGCTCACTGCTCTTTTGCTGGGGAGTTCGTAATTTTGTTTTGAGCCGGCTTAAAACGAAATCACCAGCAGGCGTAAAGGGGCTTGCCGTAGTGGGTACTTGTATCCTTGGGGGAGTGCCCTGTCTTCTTGAGAGGGCTCAATGCTTTCCTGTGGGGGAACAAGAACTCTTGAGGATACTTTTTTCTCGAGAGCACAAGCGTCACTTCACTTCACACGGATGATGCTGACCATGGCACGTGCCCTTCACTTCACTTCACTTTGTGTTGTTTTGTGTACGTCATGGTGTGGTTTTGTTCGTCAGGCTCTCATGCGTACTCACACACACACACACACACACACACACACACGCACGCACGCACGCACACGCACACACACACACACACGCACGCACACACATACACACACACACACACACACACACACACACACCCACCCTCCTCTGCTCCCTCCCCACCATCCCATCGTGTGTGTGCTGTGTGTTTGCCTCAGCTAGTGGTAGACGACCACACCACACGTCCCTGCTGGGAGTGCTGGGATGGGGAGTCAGGGAGTGCTCTCTTCAAGCTCTCATGCCTACACACACACACACACACACCCTCCTTTGCCCCCCACCATCCCATTGTGCGTTTGCCTCAGCTCTCAGCTGGTGGACGGCCACACGCCCCTCTGCTGGGAGTGCTGGCACGGGGAGTGAAGGAATGCTCTTTGCGGCCTCTCATCCTCACGCCCTCCTCTACTGCTCTTCCCACCACCCCCTTCTGTCTCTGCTGCACGTACCACAGCTCGTGGACGGCCACACGCCCCTCTGCTGGGAGTGCTGGCACGGGGAGTGAAGGAATGCTCTTTGCGGCCTCTCATCCTCACGCCCTCCTCTACTGCTCTTCCCACCACCCCCTTCTGTCTCTGCTGCACGTACCACAGCTCGTGGACGGCCACACGCCCCTCTGCTGGGAGTGCTGGCACGGGGAGTGAAGGAATGCTCATTGCGGCCTCTCATCCTCACGCCCTCCTCTATCACTCTTCCCACCACCCCCTTCTGTCTCTGCTGCACGTACCACAGCTCGTGGACGACCACACGCCCCTCTGCTGGGAGTGCTGGCGTGGGGAGTCAGGGAGTGCGCTCTCTGCGGCCGCTTGTGCTGCTGCTCCCACCTTCTCCTCATTCGGTGCCTCTCTCTCCGTCTCCGACTCCGTGTGTGCACATCAGCTGGTGGACGACCACACGCCCCTGCTGGGAGTATTGGCACGGGGAGTCAGGGAGTGCGCTCTGCGGCCGCTTGTGGGGAGAGAGCTCGATTTAGACCCCTTCTTGGACAACATGTGAGTGGCTGTTTGCATGTGAGTCAGCTCGTGGGCGACCATACGCCACTGCTGGAAGTGCTAACTTGGGGGCTGCTCTGTGGCCACTTGTGGGGAGAGAGCTCGATCTAGACCCCTTCTTGGACAACATGTGAGTCTATTTGCAATCCAGAGTGTGCTAGAGAGTGTGAAAGAGAGTGCATGCAATAGAGAGTTTGAAAGAGAGTGGAAAAGAGAGTGTGAAAGAGTGTGAAAGAGGCTGTTCTAGAGAGTGTGTGAGAAGGTACGTGAGAGAAGGAATCTGGGTGCGTATGACCTCCACGTGATTGTGGGGAGAGATGCAGGTGAGCCCACGTCATCTTAAACCGAGGTTACTTTTGGGGCTACTCACCTCCCTGCATGTGGTTGTGGGGAGGGAGAGAGCTCACATCACATTAAAACGAGGTTACTTTTCGGTCGACTCATTACAATGTCACACACGACACGTTTTGTTGAGTCAACTCAAAACTCACCTCCTCCCTACATATGGCTGTGCGGATAGATGCATGTGAGCTTACATACAAGCAAGAGTCTTTCTATTCTTGCGTGTGCGTTTTTTGAGGCGCCTAAAAAAAAGACTCCACCTGCATGTGATTGTGGGGGGAGAGAGAGCTGACGTCATATTTCTCTCTGGATGGCATGATGTCAGCCTACATACATGATGGCATGTGAGCCTACATACATGATGGCATGTGAGCCTACATACATGATGGCATGTGAGCCTACATACATGATGGCATGTGAGCCTACGTACATGATGGCATGTGAGCCTACATACAAGCAAGAGCGTTTTTTCTGGGCAAAACCACCAAGTGGTGATCTCCATTATATTGCTTTCTGGATGGCATGTGAGCCTACATACAAGCAAGAACCTTTCTGTGCATGTGCACGCGTGTGTGCGCGCATGCTTAGAGCGATCGAGATTTAGCCGCAGGGTCATAGGCGAGGGGCTTCACATCACGTCTGTATCCCCCTCTCCTCCCCTCTCCTCCCCTCTCCTCCCCTCTCCTCCCCTCTCCTCCCCTCTCCTCCCCTCTCCTCCCCTCTCCTCCCCTCTCATCCCCTCTCCTCCCCTCTCCTCCCCTCTCCTCCCCTCCCCTCTCCTCCCCTCCCCTCCCCTCCCCTCCCCTCCCCTCTCCTCCCCTCCCCTCTCTCTCCTCTCCCCCTTCCCCTCCCCTCCCCTCCCCTCCCTTTCCTCTCCTCCCCTCTCCTCCCGTCCCCTCTCCTCCCATCCCCTCCCCTCACCTCCCCCGCCTCCCCTCCCCTCCCATCCCCGCCTGTCCCCTCTGCGTTCATGTCTTTGAGTTGAACTCCTGTCCCCTTTGTCTTTGAGTTGAACTCCTGTCCCCTTTGTCTTTGAGTTGAACTCCTGTCCCCTTTGTCGTTGTGCTGACCTCCTGTCCCCTTTGTCGTTGTGCTGCTGACCTCCCATCCACTCAAGCGCATTCTGCAGGCTGCGATCGAGAATCAGCCGATTTTTGAGGCGCCTCAAAAATCGTCCCCTTTGTCGTTGAGTTGACCTCCTGTCCCCTTTGTCGTTGAGTTGGACCTCCTGTCCCCTTCGTTGTTGTGCTGCTGACCTCCCATCCACTCAAGCGCATTCTGCAGGCTGCGATCGAGAATCAGCCGCAGAGTGATCGCAGAGCATCACATCTGCTTGCAGCATCAACGGCCAGGATTCATCGGCGTCATCTGCTCCCAGGTGCGTTTCATCTGCTCCCAGGTGCGTGTCATCTGCTATAAGGTGCGTTTCATCTGCTCCCAGGTGCGTTTCATCTGCTCCCAGATGCGTTTCATCTGCTCCCAGGTGCGTTTCATCTGCTCCCAGATGCGTTTCTTCTGCTCCCAGGCGCATGCCATCTGCTCTCTCCATCATCTACTCTGCATGCATCAGCGATTTCTGGTTGAGGCATCAATCAAGCAGAAATCGCTGATGCATGCAGAGCAGATGATGGAGAGAGCAGATGGCATCAAGCAGTGCACGGACGGACGTGACTCGATTCCCCTCTCCCCCTCCCCTCTCTCCCCCCTCTCGTGCCAGCTCTCCATGCGGACATTGGTGGAAGTAGCCATCAAGCAGTGCATGGACATGCCTCTAACCCCCCGCTCTCCCCTCCCCTTCCCCCCCTCTCCCATCTCCCATCTCCCCTCTATCATACCAGCTCTCCATGCGGACATTGGTCGAGGCAGCAACCAAGCAATGCACCGATGTGTCTCGCCGCACGTTTGGCTTCTGCCCGGACTTCGAGATGCATGGGGATGTCGACTCCACTTTCGCCTATGTGCCCGCACACATTGAGTATATGCTCTTCGAAATACTCAAGGTGGGTGGAGGAAATTCATGTCGTATTCATGTGTGGGTGGGAGGCAATGTATGTACTGCCCTGTGGGTGGGAGGCAATGTATGTACTGCCCTGTGGGTGGGAGGCTAGCCTGTACTGCCCAGATCTTGAGGTGCATGGGGATGTGGACTCAACCTTTGCCCACGTGCCTGCGCACATCGAATACATGCTCTTCGAAATACTCAAGGTTTGTTGAGTTTCTGCTTGATGCAAAGAAAGGGGTGGATGGGATAGGGGCACTTGCCCTTGCCTGTGTGCCTGCACATATCCAGTACAAGCTCTTCGAAATACTCAAGGTGCGTCAATAATACGTATGCCGTATGCATGTGTGTTGAACACTGCACCCCAGTCGGCCTCTCCTCACTTGAGACGAGGACTCTACCTCTGCCGTGCCTGCGCACATCGAGTACATGCTCTTCGAAATACTAAAGGTGCTTTGAATCGATGTATGCGTGTGTGTGTGTGTGTGCGTGGGTGGGAGCTAGCATGTACCGCCCAGACTTTGAAGTGCTTGAGGATGTGGATGTGGATGTGGACTCAACTTTCACCTACGTGCCTGCGCACATCGAGTAGTCCATGCTGTTTGAAATACTCGAGGTTTGTCGAATTACTGCATGCACGATGCAAAGGAAGGGGTGCGGTACGGCCTCTTGCCTTTGCCTACGTGCCTGCTCACATCAAGTACATGTATGTGAGATCCCAAGAATCGTCTCTCATTGGAGGAAATGCTGCTTGAAATACTCAAGGTGCGTATGTCGTAGTGCAGGGGTCAGTACTCAAGATGCATAGCTCGGCCATGGAGTCTGTAGCTCGGTCATGGAGTCAGTAGCTCGGCCATGGGGCAGTAGCTCGGCCATGGGGCAGTAGCTCGCCCATGGGGCAGTAGCTCGGCCATGGGTCAGTATCTCGGCCATGGGTCAGTAGCTCGGCCATGGGGTCATTAGCTCGGCCATGGGGCAGTAGCTCGGCCATGGGTCAGTAGCTCGGCCATGGGGTCAGTAGCTCGGCTCTGTTTCCACGTTGTCTTTCATTCAACTTGCTGGTTCCAACTCTCTCCAATAATTGTATTCTCTGTTTTGTTTTTCCTGCCCGCAGAATGCATCTCGGGCAGTTGTGGAGCACCACCTGAAGAAGGCTCATGAGGAGGGGAAGTCAATTTCCCAGGCGACCTTTCCTCCTGTTACAATCACAGTCTGCAGGGGTCAAAAAGAGAGCACAATAAAGGTACGGCTAGCAAAACGGGTCTCGTTTTCCGTTCTCCCTCGTTACAATCACAGTGTGCAGGGGTCCCAAAGTAAGCACTATCAAGGTAAAGCCAGTAAAACGGGTTGCTTCTTTTCTCATTCCTCTTGTCACAGTCACAAATGAGGTGTCATCTTTGACAATTCTCAGAAAAGAGCTTGCCAGTCATAAGGGGAAGACTTGAATGGGAACCTATTTCATCTATCAGTAGGCTATCCCTCAGGCCACATGTCCCCTGGCACGTGTCCTCAGGCTCACTGTCACAGTCTGCTTGGTCGATTCCCCAAGGATACCGAGTGTGAAACGATTCGCATCCTTCTGGCTTGGTCTGGTGGGATTCTGACGACTGTTGAGTCGACTCGACACTATTGTCGTCTAGGTTGCTGATGTGAACCGAGGTCCATTTCTTCTGGCTTGGTTATATGACTTTTTGCAGGTGTCGGATCAGGGAGGGGGCATTGCGAACGAGCTCAAGGAGAAGGTGAGAGTGACTTGTGCAGGGGAGGGAAGGGGTGCACGGGGAAAGGGGGGGGAGAGGGAGAGGGGCTGGGGGGGAGGGGAGGGGTTGGGGGGTGATGGGAGGGGCGGCGGGTGAGGGGAGAAGCTTTGTAGTGGCACTAATGTGCGTGCATCAAGCTGCTCTGACTGTGCTCTAGAAGGCAAGCAAAGGCTGTTTGCATTGGTATCTGAAAGAATGTCATTCGCATTGCACTGCATTGCACTCCCCCGCAATTTACCAAACCCCACCGCACTCCACCGCACGTCCCCCAGGTGTGGAGCTACGGGTTTTCGTCTCTGGATGAGGATACAGAGGCAATTCAGCCTGCAGGTGAGATGCAGTGTTCTAGCACACCACACAACCACACAATACCTCACTGCACTGCACACCACCACTCCCCATGGCATCTCTGGATAAGGCTGCAGATGCAAGCCAGGCTGCAGTTGAGTGATGTTATAAAAAACTATCAGTCACAGTGGTTCACTAAGTATTCGTTAATATTGCCAGTTCCGTCGACGGTTTTTACCTGGAGCAGGGATTATAAAGCTATACAGTCCGCTGCCTGAGAAGCCCACGTTCGACGGGACTCGCCGCAGTGTGACTTTACAAACTTGGCCCAAAAAGACGATTCTATCACGTGCGATTTAAGCGAATATTTGGGTGTACAACCTACATTGTTATAGCACACTGTACCGCACTGCATCGCATGCCACCGCACTCCAATGCATCTCTGGATAGAGATGCAGAGGCAAGCCAGGAGTGGGGGTGTGGATGGACTTTGATGTCAGTGAGATGCCAAGCGTCACCACTCATGGAGAAAGAGCTGGAGTATGTAGGGGAAGTGCATGGGGAGGTGCATGTATAGTTTTTAGGTGCCTCAAAAATAGACTCCTCACGCATGGGGAGGTGCATGTATAGTTCCGTTAGCAGAAAGAGCAAGCCAGGAGCGGGGGTGTAAATGGACTTTGACTTCATGCTGATTGGCTCGAACCTCCGTTCCTTCCCTGGCATCCCTGCCATCCCTTTCTCTGGCTTTAACCTTCCCCCCTCTAGGCCTTGACTCGCCCCTCTCTATTCCACCAGAGCCCCCCTGTCCCCTTGGGCCCCCTTCAGGTCACCTCGACTCCCACAGCAGTCCCATGGGTGGCCTTGGCTTCGGCCTTCCTCTCTCGCTCACTCTCTCTCTCTCTCTACTCGCTTTGAGGTTCATTTAGGTTGCACTTCCACTGACCCCACTCTCCCTTCCCCACACCCTCACTTCAGGCCCCCTTGACTCCCACAGCAGTCACATGGCCGGCCTTGGCTTCGGCGTGCCCCTCTCGTACCTTTCGTGTGTAATGAGTCGATTTTTGAGTCGACTAAAAAATCGACTCATTACACACCTGTCATGCCCCTCATCCCGACTTCCCACACCCCTGCGTCAGGTCCCCCCCTTGACCCCCACGGCAGCCCCATGGCTGGCCTTGGCTTTAACCTTCCCCGCTCCCATCCCCTCTTGAAGCACCGCCATACATTCCTCGGTGTAATCCCCCCCTCCCCCCCTTCCTCTCTCCAGCTCCTCTTGATTCTCACAGAAGCCCCATGGCTGGCCTTGGCTTTGGCTTTGGCCTTTCGCCCTCTTGAAGCACCGCCATACATTCCTCGGTGTAATCCCCCCCTCCCCCCCTTCCTCTCTCCAGCTCCTCTTGATTCTCACAGAAGCCCCATGGCAGGCCTTGGCTTTGGCTTTGGCCTTTCGCCCTCTTGAAGCACCGCCATACTTTCCTCAATATTAAACCCACACCCCCCCCCACTCCCCCTCGCCCCCTTCTCCAGGCCGCCTTGACCCCCACGGCAGCCCCATGGCCGGCCTTGGCTTTAACCTTCCCCGCTCCCATCCCCTCTTGAAGCACCGCCATACATTCCTCAATACTTACCCCCCTATCCCCCCCACCCTCCCACGGCAGCCCCATGGCTGGCCTTGGCTTTGGCCTTCCGTTCTCCCGTCCCCCCTTTGAAGCACCTTCATACAGTTCCACCCTAAATACTAAACCCTTTGTCCTTACCCTCTTACCTACCCCTCTATTCTCCAGGCCCCCTTGACTCCCACAGCAGCCCCATGGTCGGCCTTGGCTTTGGACTGCCCCTCTAGCAAGTCACTAGGAGGTGCACACTGGTTGCACTTCCACCCACCCCCATCCCCCCGCCCTCCCCTCCTCCTCACCCTCACTTCAGGCCCCCTTGACTCCCACGGCAGTCCCATGGCTGGCCTTGGCTTGGACCTTCCGCTCTCCCATCCCCGCTTTGAAGCACCTCCATACAGTCCCACCCTAAACCCGAAATCCGACACCCGAAACCCTTTCTCCTTACCCTCTAGCCTACCGCTCTATTCTCCAGGCTCCCTTGAATCCCACGGCAGCCCCATGGCTGGCCTTGGCTTCGGCTTTCCACGCTCTCATCGGCTGTCGAAGCACCGCTATGCCAATCCCTCCCACCCTTCTCGTTCCCCTGTACCGCTTCTGCAGGTCCCCTTGACTCTCACGGCAGCCCCATGGCTGGCCTTGGCTTTGGCCTTCCGCTCTCCCGTCTGCATGCACAGTACTTCGGAGGAGATATTGAGGTGAGGTGTAATTGTGGCTTTTGTAAAAATCAAGTTGGATGTTCATAGTGCTCGCATCTACACCGTGCCTGCGATCATCGATCTAGGGAAACATCCCATTAATGTTACTGCGAACTCCTTTCAATGCTGCTCTAACCCCTCCCTACTGTTGCATGTGTCAACATTGTTACTCCGTGTTATCCTCGTTATGCAGTTCTTCAGTATTCCCGGTTACGGCACGGATGTGTACATTCGAGTGCACCGATTGGGGGATCACCAGGAGGAATTCGAGATTTGATTTGATGCCCCCCCAGGGGACTTTTGTGTCGACTCAAAAGATCCCCCAGGTTCGGGTGTACCGGCATATCATATACAAAACAGAATTGGTGCCAACGCTTTTTGCACCAGCGGAGAAGGGACTAGTCTGGAGCATTCCCTAGAAGGTGGCACAGCAGCACGGTCCATGCATCCTTTTGAAGACAATAATAGAAGCCATTGAATGCACGAAGAACAGGAGAAAAACAAGAAAAAAACTCCTGCATACTTGTGCTGGTCACTATCCTGTCCTATCCCATCCCACTGCACTAGCACTTAACGGCACTTGACCGTGCACTTGACCGTGAAGCCTCAGGCTTGACTGGGGAGACTGTCAGCCACCCAATCCAACTTCAACACTAACTGTTGAACCACCAGGCCCCAGGCCTCCAGAAGCCTTTCAACTGCTCCTGTAGCCGTTCCTGCCATTGGCTCTCTTTCTTCTCATGGAGACTCAAGTACAAGTACGGTACCACCCTTGCTGCCTAGAGTGTGGATGTATGCAATGTAACCAACACAGCGTGAAGCTGCCTGCCAAAATAGGCCAGCTACGGTACTTTCAAATTCCGAAGTCCGTCACTTCAAGCTGGCACCTTACTCTTGGACGGTTTTGAGGCGCCTCAAAACTAGCCTGCCAAAATAGGTCAGCTACGGTACTTGCAAATTCCGAAGCCCGTCACTTCAAGCTGGCCCCTTTCTCTTGGACGGTGTCTCGAATCTCCTTGCTCCTTTGCACGCTCAGCCTTTTCCAAAACCAGCTACTTCTGAACTACTTGCGACGGCTGGAAGAGAGGACGCGCCTCACTCACAACATTCGCCGCTCGCCTTTCTCGCGGCTGGTGCCCCTGATCTCCCTGGCTCTCGCAAGATCAGCCTTCCGCAAAATCAGCTGCTTCTGGAACTTTCCGTCAGCGCTGGAAGTCAGGGACGCCTCGCTAAACCCTAAAACGTTCGCCGTTCGCCTTTCTCGCGGCTGGTGCCTCGAATCTCCTTGCTCCTCGCGCACTCAGCCTTTCTCAAAACCAGCTGCTTTTGAAACTTCTCGCGGACCCTCTCAGCCACGGCATTACGCCCCTCAATCGGCCTCGCCACGCGCTCCCATGCGTCCAGCTTAGCCAAGCGGACCATTTCCTCATGCTGGGCCATTTCCATCTCCCATTCCGCTCTAGCCTTCTCTGAAATTTTCCAATCATCCCAGAATCTCGTCGTCGTGCTGCTGAGATCCGGACGTTCTGGGGGCTGCGTTGGGTGATCTGCAGGGAACCATGGTGGTTTGCGGAGCAGGGAGGGAACAAAAAGGGGGTAGAGTAAGTTAATAGGTGCGCCGCATGTTCCGGCCGCGTCGCCACAGGCTTGCGCGCCGATAATTCCTGGGTCGCCACTGGCAAGCGCGCCGATTCTTTCTGCACGCGTGACCACGAGTCGTCGACTCAAAATACGGCGTTTTTCGGACCTACTAAGACGAGGCATGGTTTTCAAGCGGATATTCTGAGAGATTTCAAGGTACCTCGTCTGTATGTGGTCTTCAGCTTGGCGCGCTGTGCCTTCGTCATGCGACGACCGCATTGGGAATTATCCCAGGATGTCTCTGGAAGCTCAAGATCTACGGCCGCCATCGCTGCTGAGGATGCGAGCCTGCTCGAAGCTCTACGAAGTTCCTTTCGCGAAGCTTTACGCTGAAGTTTTACGCGATGAAATGTAGCCGCGGAAAATAAGTAGCAGATTTCGGGTGGCGAAATAGGGAACGAAGCGAGCGAGAGGAAAACTCGGGTGTCCAAATGAGATAACTCTGGCAGAAGTGAGTGTGATGCGATGGCTGGGAATGAAGGGTCTGGCTTTTTATATGCAAGGGTCGAGACGAGACTCGAGGACCAATGTTCTCCCATAAATCCCGAGTCGCGTATTTTGGTTGAGTGTGGCGAGGGGATGCGGTCCGCGGCCCGGAAATCGTGCTCTTTCTGAATGTCAGAAAGTCAACAGCTTCGGTGGCAATCTACACGCAACCGTGAAATACGAAGACTCGAAATAAACCCTGAACCAGCATACGCGCATAAAGTAGAGCAGGGACCTTATCACCAAGCTCCATTGTTCTCAACAGAGCCGTATGGTGCTAGTATTGGTGTTGTTATGAATAATAACAAAGAGTGCGCGGAATAATAATGACGAGTAGAAGAATGCTAGCCTAGCATTATATAGCGAGGACTCTAGCTAGGCGACGAGCCCGGAAGGCTTGGTCGGGTAAAGGCGCGGTCGAAAGGGTAGGAGGCGGCGCGGGCTCGCCTCGGGGTCGCGTCGGAAACGGACCGAGCCTGGTCTTCCGAGAGTTCGGGTGTACGCGATTGCAGTACAACCCGGTAAGGAATAAAATTCCTTACACTAACCCCCCTCTTAAGGAAGGTGGTCAACTTCGGGAACGTCTTTTCGGGTCAAATAAGATTTGAGCACCGAGTGTTCCTGAAGCGAGTCGGAAGTAACCCACGTGTTGTCTTCACTTGTACGATCGACCAAGTGAACAAGGAAATCCACGTGTCGTCCTGCTGTGTCGAGGCGGACGCGATGACTCAAAAGCCGGAAAGGCTCAAGGGTCGGATCTGCCATCGGGCGGACAATGGGGGCGGCCGCTGGTCGTGCGACTGCGGTCGTGCTGGCGACGTAGGGACGAAGCAGGCTGACGTGGAAGGCGTCGTGAATGCGCCACTCGTCCGGAAGTAATAATTTCGCCGTGACAGGTGTCACCATCTTGACAATACGGAAAGGTCCACAGAATCGTGGTCAGAGTTTTGAAGGCAGGGGCAGGCGAAGGTTCTTCGTGTCGAGAAGGACTAGTTGCCCAGCGGCCATCGTGATATCTCAGCGATGGACTTGTGAATGAATTCGATCGCTTTTTCCCGGGCAACTTGCAAACTGGTCACGAACTGCTGGGAACGTGGCACGGGGTTGTCGATGTGGGTTGTCGTCGGGACGGTCGGATCCATCCCGTAGTTGAGGAAAAACGGCGAGTGGATTAGTCGTAGCAGATCGGGCATTGTTGTAGGAAAATTCCAGCATGGGCAGGAATTCTTCCCAACGGGCAAGATCTGGGCAGTTGGTGCGTATCAGCTGTTCCATGGTTTGATTGGTTCGCTCTGTCTGGCCGTCGGTTTGTGGGTGGTAGGCGGATGAAAATTGTAGGCGGGTGCCGTACAGTGCCCATCTCTCTTGCCAGAACTTGGACGTGAATTTTGGGTCGCGGTCGCTGATGATTGCTGATGGTAGGCCGTGCAGACGAACAACGGTGGAGATGAAAATATTTGCTGTATCTTCGGCTGTGATGGTTGTGCGAGAGGGTACGAAATGCGCCATCTTCGGCAGACGATCGACGACGACAAGGACGGCGTCGTTGCCATTGGCGGTGGCCGTAAGTCCCGTGACGAAGTCCATCGTCACGTGTTGCCACGGTCGCTAGGGTGGCTCGAGAGGTTGTAGTAGTCCAGCTGGCCGCTGTCGAGAAGACTTCATGCGCTGGCAGATCGGGCACGCGGATACATATCTCTACACATCAGACACCGAATCAGGCCAATAATAAAAACGGTGAAGTAACTTCTGGGTCTTATCAACCCCGAAATGACCAGAGAGGTTAGAATCATGGACTTCTTGAATAAGTAATTCGCGAAGGAGTCGGTAGGCGGGAACCCAGATACGGTCAGTACCGGTTTTTAGGAAGTAGGGTCCTTTCGATGTGGTGGCTTGCTGGTGGAGGTTGCGGGTGGAAAAAGGGGTATGTGGAGTAGCCGTGGGTAAATATGCCAGTGAGCAGCGGGTTGGATTTTGCGACGATGATGGAGGCAAGGTGGGCGGACGGTCTTGTCAGTGCGTCGGCGATGTTATTCGCCCCTCGTTTGTAGGTGATGGTGTACTGGAAGTTGCTTTCGAGGAAGTCCAGCCAGCGAATCTGTCGTAGATTGAGGTTCGGCTGCGCGCGGAGGTACTGTAGAGATTTATGGTCTGTCCGTACTGTCACGTCGGCCCCTATCAGATAGCAGCGCCATACTTTGAATGCGTGCACGATGGCGAGCATTTCTTTGTCGTGGACGGGGTAGTTGCGCTCTGCTGCCTGCAACTTCCGGGTCTCGTACGCGATTTGTTGGAGTCCTTCGCCGAAATCTTGTAACAGTATCGCACTGATGGCGAAATCGCTAGCGTCCGTCAAGACTTCGAACGGTCGAGATGGGTCGGCGATTCGGAGAACCGGAGGCGACGTCAGGAAAATTCTGAGTTCGTCGAAAGCAGCTTGCTGTCTCTCCCCCCACTCAAACAAAGTGCCCTTCCACAGCAGGTCAGTTAACGGTCCGGTAATCCCTGCCATATTAGGGATAAACCGCCGGACGTAATTAACGAACCCAAGAAAACTTTGCAGCTCCTGTAAATTCGTCGGCGGCTTCCAGTCGCGAATCATGGCGATTTTCTTCGGGTCGATTTTGATGCCGTCCGCTCCCACTACATGTCCCAGAAATTCCAGTTCGGATTTTAGGAACTCGCACTTAGAGCCCTTCGTGATGAGCCGGTTTTCTTGCAGCCGCTGGAAAACTTGCTCGAGGTCCTTGAGGTGTTGTTCCCGTGTCTTGCTGTAGATCAAAATGTCATCGAGATAGACGATGACACACTTGTCGAGTATATCTCGGAATACACCATTCATGGTGAGTTGGAAAGTGGAGGGCGCGTTCGTGAGGCCAAACGGCATCACTGTGTACTCGTAGCTGCCATAGCGGGTTCGGAACGCCGTCTTGTGGCAGTCGTCAGCAAAAACTCGGATCTGATGGTAACCGCCGCGTAAGTCGATTTTCGAGAAGAAACGAGCTCCGCGAAGTTGATCGAGAAGATCGTCCGCACGTGGGATTGGGTAGCGAGACTTGATTGTTCGCCGATTCAGCGCCCTGTAGTCGATGCACATTCGCAACCCGCCCTTTTTTTTGGGCGTGAACAGGATTGATGCTGCGAACGGGGACGTGCTGGGCCCAATGAACCCCTTCTCCAAGAGGTAGTCCAGCTGGCTCCGCAATTCCGTGAGCTCGGGCTGAGTCAGCCGCCACTGGGTCCTGACTGTAGGCTGTGCGTCGGGTTCCAGGCCAATTTTGTGGTCCTGGGGGCGCTCGGGTGGCAATCCTGTTGGCAGATCATCCGGAAAAATATCCGGGTATAGTCGAATCAGCGCGGTGAGCTCGGCAGGGACACTGGCACAGAGTGTGTCAATGTCCTTTGGCGTGTCGTCGACCGTCGCTTCGGCTAGGTGGACGGCGTACAAATCAGCTCCCCGTTTAACTGCTCGCTGGAGAGTGATGGCGTTGACACGTGTCGACACCGGATCCCTCCCACGTCAGCACGGAAGTACGCGCCACCCATTAGCACAGTGCACGCTGCATTCGCCATTTGTTCAGTCAATCCTCGGGTTGTATTTTCGCAGCCAATCACGTGCAAGCAGAATATCGCAGCCGTCCAGCGTCGTGGCCAGCATGGGCATGCTGAATCCGAAATCGTCGCCACACTTCATCCGCACCATGCGCGCTCGTTCTCGAATTGCGAGTGGAGTTCCGTCCACCAGATTTCGGGTAGACATTTCTCCAACGTCAGCTTCAACTGCTTCGCTGTTGTGACGTGTATGAGGCTGTGACTAGCCCCGCCATCCACAAATAACTTTATTTTTTTGTATAAGACAATATGTATTTCAACACATCCGTCATGGCGTAGGCGTTCTAACTCTCTCTAGCCGTGCGCAACAAGGATTTGCCCAGCTCTGATACCAACTGTTAGTATTTCCGGCAGCGCTCTCGCTGCTCTCAGGTCGTTCTTACACTCCAAACAAACTCCCGACAGCACTCTCGCAAGCACTAAGGGTAGACTTAACGCCACCAGTCAAGTTCTGATTGCAAACAGGCAGCACGACCTGAGAGAGAATTTTCAGATTCACTATCTACAAAGAGATACAAAGAAACAGATTTATATGGAAAAATAAAAATTCCTAAGCCACATGACATTGCGTAGCGCACATCGGAACCGCATTTCACACGACGTAACCGAACCGCATTTCTGCTCCTCCGAACCCCACGTCACAGTACCAATTTCTGCTCGTCGCTCACAAGTCCTCCGCGTGTCCCAAACACCTCCTCCTTCCAACACGTAACCCTGCAGCCCCTCACCACCTAGCACACCCGTATGTAGTCTTCAGCTTACGCCACCTGTTAGCGCTGCCACACTGCCACCAAGCTTACACCATCTGTTCGAGCTGCCACGCGTTGACTAGGGGCAAGCGCGAACCACCTCCAACAACCTCCGCTGTGGTTTGCAGCTTGCTCACTCGAGCTACGTGTGTAACCCCGCCTCTCTCTTACAATGCTGGAAACGAGGTGTAGGTAGGACCTTGGTCAAGAAATCAGCTGGCTGTCGTTCTCTTCTCACATGCTCGAACCTGAAACTCTTGTTCGCCAGCTGCTCTCGCACCCAGTGATACCTAACGTCCATGTGTTTTGTCCGTCCATGCCGATTGTCATTCCGAGCTAGGTCCATCGCTGACTGGCTATATCGACCCTCGTGCATGCCACCGGGTACATCACCGAGCCCACCATCGACTGGTACTGCCTAAGTGCAACCTCTCGACTTCCCCATCAGACTAACTTAGCCTCGATGTCTACCCCTTGCGCTGCTGCAGTACTCAAAGGTGTGGAAATCCTCCTGGCACTATTATGATCTCCAAACTTATCTCGAAGACGATGGAAAATCTTCTTGTGCTTCAGCATCAGCTGCCTCTCATTCCTGTTCCGCTCCAGAT